CTGAACCGATGCGGGGCTCAAACTCATGGAATGTGAGATCATGACCTGAGCCTAAAATCAATAGTGGGATGTTTAACTGATTGAGCCATCCTGATGCCCCAACCTACGAATTATTTAGAAGTCTGTTATTTTCTAAATATTTGTGGATTTTCCTGATACCTTTCATTTCTTTCCGGTTTTGTAGTCAGAGAACAGTTTGTATGATTTCAGTTATCTTACATTATTTAGTTTTATGATCTGGACTATGATCTATTGTAATGAGAGTTTCATGTTCACGTGAAAATTGTGCATGGCGCTGTTGTTGCATGGGGCATAATATGATGGTAAGTTAGGCTGATGGTGTTGATCTGGTCTTCTATATCTGATTTGGGGGTATTTGTTCTATCCATTACTCAGAGAGAAGTGATGGAATCACTAATGACAATTGTAAATTCATCTGTTTCTCCCTCAGTTTCTGCTTCATATATTTTGAAGTTCTATTATTAGGTACATAGCCATCGAAAATGGAATGTCTTTAAAAATTTTTTTTTATGTTTATTATTTTTGAAAGAGACAGAGCATGAGTGAGGGAGGGGTAGAGAGTGGGAGGGAGGCACAGAATCCGAAGCAGGCTCCAAGCTCTGAGCTGTTGGCACAGAGCCCGGTGTGGGGCACGAACCCACAAACCAGAATATCATGACTGGAGTCAAAATTGGACACTTAACTGACTGAGCCACCGAGGTGCTCCATCATGGAATGTCTTTTTTTTTTTTTTTTTAAATTTTTTTAATGTTTTATTTATTTCTAGGAGGGAGAGAGAGAGAGAGACAGCGTGAGCAGGGGAGGGTCAGAGAGAGAGGGAGTCACAGACTGAAATAGGCTCCAGGCTCTCAGCTGGCAGTCAGCACAGAGCCCGACGCGGGGCTCGAACCCACGAACCGCGAGATCATGACCTAAGTGAAAGTCGGACGCTTAACCGACTAAGCCACCCAGGCGCCCCGGAATGTCTTCTTAATGAATTATCATTATAGCATATTTTGCGTTCCGAAGTCTACTTTATGTGATGAAATATGGCCTCTGTAGTTTCCAGAAGTGTTTACATGGTAGTATCTGTTTTTAAATTGGATTTCAGTGAACAGGTGTAGTTGGATTCTGCTTTTCCTATCAAATCTGATCATCTGACTTTTCTTAGTTGGCATGTTCATTTACATTTGCTATAATAACAGAGTGCTGGCATTAAGTCTACGATTTTGCTATTTGTATTCTACTTTTCCCACCTCCTTTTAACTTTTCCCCACTTTTCCTGCCCTGTTTTGGATTCAATGCTTCATGATCCCATTTCCCCACAACTGACTGACTAGTTGTCATTCTGTTTGATTTTTAAAATTTATTTTTATGGATTTATCTAGAATGGTGGTTCTCAAAGCGCATTCCAGGGTCCACGAGGCCCTTTCAGTGAGTTTGTGAAGTCAGAGCTATCTGATAGAGGTTACTTTTAGGAGTGGTTTGACAGATTGGCGAGCTTTCAGCCGCGTGTGAAGACAACAGGCAGACAAGAAGAATCGAGAAAAGTTTTGGGGGGAAGTAAACAGAGTCTCCATGACCTGCGGGACGAGCCCAATTGGAATCACAGAAGGAAAAATGTTGGGGCGGGCGGGGGAGGGGGCAAAAGAGATTTGAAAAAATGATAGTTGAAATCATTCCAAATTTGATGAAAACCATACACACTCAGGCCCAAGAAACGTAAGGAGCTTTGTCCAGATTGAAATGACCACCTCTCCGTTGTATCCCATCATAACCCATGTTCTTACCACAGAACCTGCAATATATATTTTTTTAATTTTTAATGTTTTATTTCTAGGAGAGAGAGAGACAGCGTGAGCAGGGGAGGGTCAGAGAGAGAGGGAGACACAGAATCCGAAACAGGCTTCAGGCTCTGAGCTGGCAGTCAGCACAGAGCCAGACGCGGGGCTCGAACCCACGAACTGTGAGATCATGACCTAAGCGAAAGTCGGACGCTTAACCAACTAAGCCACCCAGGCACCCCAACCTGCAATATTTTTTAACGCACACCAAACCTTCCCATACCAAGTTGTGGGCAACATTATTATAGAATAATGCCAAGGCACATGATAGATACTTGATAAAACAACTGTTCTTAAATGCTGAGTGCATCACAGATTTTGCTGATTTTGTTGATCTCAGGCAAAATAAAACTGATTGATGCTTCCTGTTCAAAAGATGTCAATATATTGGGAAATCAATTGACTTGAGTGCCTAAAAATTAGCCAGTAGCTGCACTTTTGGACCCCATGTTTTGCATGAAAAAGGAATACATTTAAAATCATCTCTCAAATGGAAGTATACATTGTACCCTGCTTGCATTACACAGTTGTACTGTGTTAACACTTTATTTAAAAACAAACACACTTCCTTTGAAGTCGTGTTTGAAAGCAGTTTACCTGGCTTGCAAATTTACTGCTTGGATCAGCTGAAATAAACACACCATCTTTATCCTTTTGAAATCCATTGTGAGACCAATAGGCCAGGTCAAACGTAAATGTCTTCCAATGTTCTGGATTCTTAGGGTCTTGTATGGTCGTGGTGGTTCTGGAATGCATGGAAATCACACATTTGCTCCCAGAATTCTTCTCTCTCTATGGTCAAATTACAAATTCAGTCAGGCATTGTTTTTGTCATTCAAGTTGTTTTGCAAGTCTTTATACACACCTTGTAAGAAATTAAGCCAGGAACCATTTATTCGTTTGTTATCTGTGTCTGGCTTTTTTTTTTTTTTTTTTTTTTTTAATAACATTGGTGAAATGTTTTTTTTATTATAAACGCCATTTGAACTTGTGGATTAAGTAAGAGCCAGCTCACGGTCTTAATTTTGAGAAAGGGGTTGTTCTCTGTGTTGTTATTCTTAACAGCTGTTATGACAATGACTCTTAAACTCAGAATTTTTGAGTCTTCTCTAGTCATAGTAATTTTCTGAGAGGAGCCTATCTCACACCCAACTATACTAATGGTGGTAACTATAGCAACAGAGAGCTTTCCTATTTCACTCCCCAGTGAAACTGGTGGAAATTATTAAAGAAAAAGTGAAAATGGAAAAACCACCATTTGCAGACTCAGTAACGAATGGTCCTGAGGGCAAACAGTCAATGACAAAACATCAGTTCAAGGAATCGTATCCAAGTTGTTAGGGGGGAGTCTGGGATTTGAAGCGGGAGCAGGCCCTTCCTCTCCCTCTGCCAGCTCCGGCAGGTGGAGACTCTGCTCCAGACGGCTGGAGCTCTGACCACAGGGCTCCCTCTGTCCCCAGATGGGAGGGCTTTCTTCCGGGCGGGAGCAGGATATGAGCGTTTCCCATCCTGCCCTGCGTGCCTGTTGTGAGGCTCTTGGTGACAGGTAGGATGCCCACGTGTGCAGGTGTACTTCGTTCACATGATGCTGGGAATACCCGGGTGCTGGCTGTCCTTGGCCCGGCCCGAGGTGGCGGTTCCATGCCAGGGGGGGATCAGGCTGCTGTTCCATTCGTCACATGCTGGGGCTTCAAAAACAGGGGACAGCTTGGAGCTGTTCCTACCCCCAAACCCTGAGCCCAGGGTTCGCCATCCTGCCTCGGGGGACAGCAACTGCTCTCTTCTCAAAGGGGACTTCATTTTCTCTCTTACAGAAACCTGACCTATGGGCACAATCGGGAACAGAAGAGGTTGTGATGGAAGGTGACTGGGAGGAGGTTTGTTTTGATACTGGTTAAATTACAGGCCCTCTGCTTTGCAGAAGTGGTGGGGGTGGGGGGTGTAGGGGGTGCCGGGAAGACAGCTGGGATGAACGCACCTGGAGTCCAGATATAGATCAGTCACCGATCTCAGAAACGGTTCCTTTTAAAGGAATCTGAGAATCCTTGGCCCGGTCCAAAGTCACGAATATTTACTGTGGTTTTTTTTTACTTAACAGTTCTCGTTTTTGTGGCTTTGGTCCCTATTTTGTTAACTTTCATTTACACGGTGTGAGGTAAGTGTCCAAGTTCATTGTTTTTGCATGCAGCTATCAAGTTTTTCCGGGACTGTTTCCGGCAAAGGCTGTTCTCTGCCCATTTTGGCAGCCTTGTTGAAAACCAGGTGGCCGTGGAGGCCTGGGATGTTTTCTGATCGCTCTGTGTCATCACATTAACCTATAGGTCTCTCACTGTGTCAGTGTCACACTGTCTTGGTCACTGCTGTCTATATCCGTAAAGCCATCTAATTACGGATCTACCTGGCTGCTGAAATACTTTCTGTGACGCAGATGAATGCTGAGGGACAGGAAACAATGGACACAAATGCCGACGGACAGGAGAGGAAAAGCATCAGGTTGTACAGGGTCCAAGCGGGAAAGGAGGCCTCCTAGAAGGTCTCCATCACGTTCACTGCATGCCTTTGCGGACGAGTTACCACTGTCCTGCACGCCCTTTGCACGTTGCTCTGTCTAGCATACCCTCTCCAAATCTTGCTTCTTCTTTGGGTCAGCCTCATGCTTCTACCTCCAGGAGTTTTCACGGCCACCCAGGTAGAACAAACTAGACCCAATCTCTCTCTGGGGGCCCAGGAGGTTTGCCTGACCACGGCGGGACACACTACTACCAGTCATTTACCCCCACGCGCTGCAAGCTTTGTGTCCTGTCCTTAGCATAGGGTTTGACCCACAGCACTCAAGAGTGTGCTGGGTGGGCCAACTGTCCAGAATGATCTTAAATCTTAAGTTACACAGCGGTAATCGGGGTTTGTTGCAGGGTCCCTGAGCAAGTGTAATCCCTTAGTGTTTCAACAACACAGCTCAACAACTAGCTGTAGTAAGTTCCATAAATACACGTATCTGTAAATGCACTTAAAATCCATAGACTTCGTTCCGAACCGGCAACTTGCCTGCTTACGATCTGCCGTTACTGAGGAGGGGGAAGTACACTTACCAAAAACAACACATGTCTATATTCACCAACCCGCACTGGGGCAAGAAATTATTGACTTGACAGTACGTATGTTTCTCTCATCAATTTTTTATTGAGCTACTTGTGCAGAGGAATGAAATTGCGTGTTTACTAAGTTATGTTCAGATCTTTACTCATTTAAACAAGTTCATTTAAATCTTCCATAAATGACAAGCAGCTTACACATTTGATCACTGTCATTAGAAAGTTAATAAAACGAGTCATAGTCAAAATGTCAACAAGGCGATGGGCCATCCATCACTGACCTGACTGAAAGGCCGCACACGCACTGCGACGGTCACACTGTCCATACTTGGCACAGGTATCTTCACCAGGTTCCCGTCGCTCGTGTCAGTTATTTGGTAGAAAAATAAGGTAGAAAGTGCACCACTGTGCTTCACGCTGAAATGTTAAAAGCTGAGCCAACGAAAGCAGTTTGTTTCTAGACAATCAATTATTCATGGTCCATTCATTACACACGATCAGTGGCCTGTTATAAATTATTTTACAACACTTACTTATTGATGAGTGTCATAGCCCACGTCAAGCATCCCCACTTCATTGCACACAGTCATCCCAGAGGACAGTGTCCTGGTTCTTCCTCCCACCCCTTCCCCACCTCTACTTAGGCTCTTTGCCCGTCCTCAATAGTCTGTGCCTGAGGTCCTAGGAATATGTGTCCGTTTAAAAACCTGAATGGTAAGGGACTTCTGTAATTTAATAGCAATCTCCTTCACAGCGAGAATGTCGTAAAAAAAATTTGTTCAGACTTGTCATTCTATCCACAGTGAGCACACACAAGGCGTGCCCAAGGGCCATGAAACGGACTTGTCTCAAGTTCCCCCCTTCTCAACCCTTTCCGAGAAGTTGCTAGTGAGCAGTGAACCGGTCGGTCTAACCTGGATAATTAGTCTCTGAATAATTAAGAGACCATACAAATAGCCTTGAAGCTTGCTGAACAAGGAATGCCAACGTCGTATTGAACCGATGCATTACTTGGAAAATCGCTCAGTTGAGGTAGAATATACAAAATTTGTTAGACTACAAAACGCGGCAGAATTACATGCCCATAATTCGATTTCAACATAGTAATAACAAGCCAAAAAAAAATACATTTTTTGATTAGAAATCTCAATCATAGAAGCAAAGTGCATAAATTATAAAACAGCAACTTTGAAAAAGAATCGACAGTTCTTCAATCGTCCTGATTTTAAGACTGGCCCACCGCCATCAACTGTAGAGGAAGCCAGGGCACCAGCGCCTAGCGGCATTAGAAAATCAGTATTAAAACAGAAATCACCTCTCAAAAATCTAACAGACACAAACTACTGTGAAGTATACACTTTATTTAACATTCCAATAATAAGCCATATTTACATCCTGTATAAATGTATGAAGTCTTAATATAAAATAGAAAAAACTGCCTGGACTAAAAGATTCACACTCCTTATGGAGTTACTTTGCCTACTGAAGAGCCTCTGTCTACAAAAATTTACAGTAACTTATACAAATCCTTTTCTTCTAAATTAGGTAATTTTTAATAATCCACACAAGTTTGATGACTCTTAGAAATTGGTGTACATTAAAAACTTGAACAAAAATTACAGCAGTTTTCTGCGTAAAACTTGCTTTGGAAAGGAAGACAGTTTCTTCCTGCTCCTTCCCAGACCTCTGGCCGGTACTGCGGGAGCCCTTCGAGGCTTGTTCTTTACGTCATCTGCCGGGCTTCCCAGAGGAGAAACCAGCCTGATCTTCACAGGAGGAGGTGACCAAGGGTCTTCTTCTTTGTTTCTGAGGACAAAACACAACTCGAGTAAGAGCACACACACGGTAGTGGAAAACAGGGCCACTTCCCCATGGCACTCAGGAAGAAGCATGAAGGAGCGGGTGCTTTCCTGGTGCTTTGAGAGGAGTGAAGAATGTCGTGAAGGGAAGTGGAGGCAGAGTGAAGGCCCACGTGACGCAGAGGGGTGAGCGCCCAGCAGGCCCGTGACTGTGACACTAACAGCAACCCTCACACCCCACCGTCCGTGATCCCGCGCACACGTCCGCCACAAGTGTCCCGCCTGTGCGACAAAGCCAACTGATGTATAAGCCGTGTTCTCAATTAGGGTCAAAAATCTTGATAAGTCAGCTTTCAAAGTACGATGTAATGGACTGCTTTGTACTTTTACGAAATTCGACCACCCCGTAACACAAATCCATCCGGAGAAGTCTCCCCACAAATGAAGTTTTACTGCCATTAGTAAAACAACTGCAAGATTTTTAAGTTTATAATTAGTTTTACTACTGTTACCTACCTTTACTAGGGAAAGGGCGACACATCCGTTCACCCCCCTCCCCCGCCCTCAGAACAGAGGACACAAGGGGCACAGACCTGCCCCACAGCCCTGCTTTCAAGGGCCACTGGGTTCTCACTGGCCTGTGGAGAGGCCCCTCGCCTTGCTTGGTAAGGCCCTGTAACCGCCGGCAGCCAGTGCTCACAGACACCCCAACAATTACCCTTTTCCGAAGAGCTTGATCTCTCAAGACTCTTTTCAGATCTAATTCACAAAACAAAATGGATAAAAATTACTGCATAAAACAGGTCAGACCTGCTTGCCTGTCTGGTCTTTGTGGTCCGGGGTGTTTTCGCTTTTTGCTTTCCCACAGTTTCTGTTGATTGGGTGTGATCTTTCTGCGGGGTACAAGTTTGGAGAGAGAAATTGTTAGTAACTAAGTATTTGCAATCTGAACTGAATCCTTCTATCCTGAGTCAACGAATCCCCCCAAACAGCGCTAATGAATTCAGAGGCAAGTCCCAGGTGGACTTTTTTTTTTTCCTTTAATGTTTGTTTATTTTTGAGGCGGGGAAGGGCAGAGAGGGAGGGAAACCGGATTCCCAAGCAGGGTCTAGGCTCTGAGCTGTCAGTACAGAACCCAACATGGGGCTTGAACCCACCTCTGTGACCTGGGCTGAAGTTGGCCGCTTAACCGACTGAGTTGCCCGGGGCGACCCCCCTCCCCACATGGAATCTCTTTATTTTCAGCAGGAACTCTCCGGTCATTTCAGGCCGCTCCTCCTCCCCATGCACACAGTCTGTCTCCAAGGCACAGGTTTCCTCGTCTGCTGCCCTCCTGTTCCCAGTGCTTCTGTCCAAACCCAGGGCTCATCATCTCAGGAAGGACCGCGCCCCCAGGGACTCCCTTTCCTCCCCGGAACTCATGTCCTCCTGCCTTCAACATGCACACGGCAGTTTGTAAGGAGCTCCACCCCCGGTGCCTCTGTGGTCCCTGACGCTCCCTTCCAGGACGGCCTGCCTCCTTCACCTTCTGCCTAGAGGGCTACTTGGGTAGAAACGATTCTTGGCATACTGTGAATTAATTGTGTGTGTTTTAGCCTCTTCACTTAAACTGAGCTCCTGAAAGGCCAGGCATTTGCCCAAGTGATTTCTGTGGGCGTCTCTGCCTTTGCACAGTAACTGGTCACGGCAGATAATTCAAGAAACGCTTATGAATTCACACTGCTAAACAGTTCAGTCCATGAACTCTTTTCGTTTTATGGTTTTGTGCAATCAGGTGACTGGACAACTCTGAAACCCTGCCCCTCCAAGTGTGGTCTGTGGATGACACCCCGGGGGTTCAGGGACCAACATTCATATAAACGCCTCCAGAGAAGGCGGAGGAGACGCTAAAAGTGAAAAACCTCTTCCCCAACAGGTCATCCAAGCCGCAGCTGCCAGTAACATACCATCAGCGACGTGCCACAAATGTGGCCACAGGCGGGCACTCCAAGTGCAGAGAAGGCAATTTTGGGCTTTCAGTATGTCTGCTCTTTTAATTATTTTTTGAAATTTATTTTTATTTATTTTTTGAGAGAGAGAGAGAGAGAGAGAGAGACAGAAAGAATGAGGCAGGGGCAGGGAGAGAGTGGGAGACAGAATCCCAAGGAGGCTCTGTGCTATCAGAGCCAGACGTGGGGCTCAAATTCACAAACTGTGACATCATTACCTAAGCAGAAGTCAAGGGTTGGAAGCTTAACTGACTGAGCCCCCAGGTGCCCCAAATCTCTGCTCTCTTATTTTTTTTAAATATTTTTTTAACATATACTTATTATCTTTGAGAGACAGAGCATGAGCGGGGCAGGGGCAGAGAGAGAGGGAGACACAGGATCTGAAGCAGCTCCAGGCTCTGAGCTGTCAGCACAGAGCCTGACGCGGGGCTCAAACCCACAAACCGTGAGATCATGACCTGAGCCGAAGTTGGCCGCTTAACCCACTGCGCCACCCAGGCACCCCTCTCTGCTCTTTTAAAAGAGATTTATTTATGAAACATTGCTTAAAAAAGTAAAGAGCATGTTTTTTTTTCTTTCTTAGAGAGAGGGTGCAGAGGGAGAGGCAGAGAGAGAGAGAGAGAGAGAGAGAGAGAGAGAGAGAGAGAATCATAAGCAGGCTCCCGATGCAGGGCTCGATCCCACACCCTGGTATCACGCCCTGAACCATAATCAAAAGTCGGACACTTCCCCCACTGAGCCACCCAGGCGCCCCAAGAGCACGTTTAAACGTGCCTACAAATGAATAAAATGCACTTCTTACCAGTTCGTCTCCGAGTCTTGATGTATTGGATGCATTTTTCTGCCTGGTCCGTAAAGTAGGTGGTGAGAAGACAAACTGAGGAGATAAATCTGAAACTAATTCTTGCAGCTGTGCTGGAGCCTCTATCTTTTTAGCTGCAGAAAGGCAGGGAAGAAGAAACAAACACTGAAATCCAGGTCCACAAATACGGATCTTGAGATCTATCTTTTATAAAAGTGTGGAACAGAGAACACACGCTGGAAAGATGTACACATTTCCGAGCCTGGAAAACGCTAGTGGGGACACACACTGGCCGTGTGAGGAGAGACAGACGCAGGGAAAAACCTCCACACCGTTTGGGTCAACCTGACGTGTAGAAATTTAATGCCCCAAACTAAATAGTGTTACAATATAAAAACAATATTTAAGAAGCAAACTCAGAACTGTTATTCTGCGAGTTTTCATCATTACTGCTCCTCCCTCATATGTTCTCGGGAAGGAAAACATCCATCTTCTATATAACCTGTGCTAGTTTACTTCAAAATCCCTACTATTCCAAGATGACATTTTTATTTACAAAGATATTTTCAAAGAGACTCAAAACTTTTTTCCTTCCAGATCATTCTCAGCTAGTGGTTCCAGTCAAAGGAACAACAGAAAAGTTCACGTTGTGAAGGGAAAAAGGGAACAGAGAAAGTAATTAATAGAAGAAAAAACAGGCTGATTGGAAGATACTCCATAGATAAATAAATAAAAGTGATTTACTTAAGAACTGGTCCAGAACATGTGACTAAAAACATCACAGATGTTCTCTCAGATTTATTTTTGCCATTGGGTCTCCATATCAAAGGTGATTACCAAGGTTATTGTGGAAGCAGCAGGTGCAGCCAAACCCGTCTGCCACAGGTTAGATCCCAGCTTCTGGATCCGCTACTTGCGGGGCCCAAGGCAAATCAGATAAAGCTCTCTGTGCTTCAGTGTCTATAGTATGGGGTCACAGCACTGGGACCTAGGAGTTGCTGTGAAGATTACAGGATCAGAAGAGAGTGTGGGGCGCCCGGCAAGGTCTGTATTCGTCACAGGCTTGTGGCTTCCAGAATTTACAAATCCTAAAGTAAGATTCTCCAAGTTCAATGTTATTTCACCTAGTGGGGGCCATCAAGACTTCTGTAAGATATCAAATTCTGCATTTAAAGCCCAGGATTCTTAAAAAGGAAACAGGAGTGGTCAGAAATGAAAGTCCTCTCTGCTGCCTGCTAATAAGGGGCAGAAATGGCAACAGCTGGGGTGCTGGGGGTAACCTTCCCCTTTGGGTGTTAAAAAAACAACAACGGATCCATGTTCTTTACAGGAAATGAAGACACTGTATTTTTCTCTTTCTAGGCTACCCGGAGCCACAGAGGGTCTGCCCTTCACAGACGCGCTTCCGCTCCTCACCGCCGGTCCCCCTGCAGCGCACAAACTACACTATCATGTGCACACGTGTCGGGCCTCACCCGCCTCCCACGTGCTCCTATTGGCCACACAGGACTTGGTTCCCCATGTTAGTTCCTCCCCATCTCTCTCCAGTGAGTTCCAACGTCCTAGTGGCAAAGCCAGGGACGGGCTGGTAAGTGGCTCTGACACCGGGAGCAGCAGCCAGCAGGAGGTGGCTCCACCGCAGCGTGCGTGCGTGTGTGTGTGTGTCTGTGTGTGTCTGTGTGTCTGTGTGTGTCCCTGCACCTGGTCCGGCCTCGGGCAGAGGTGCGCCCCTCAGCATCTGCTGCCGGCAACAGAAAGGAAGGAAGCTTTGTGTCTGAGCAGCGAATACATTCAGAGGTGGCATCTCTTTGACGGGTTTCGATTAAACAGAGGACGTTCTGCACCTGCTCCCTGCACTTCCTACCCCTCCCTGAAGAGCTTTCAAACTATGACTGGGGTTGGCATGGGGGACAGAGGCGCAGTGGGGGGGGGGACAGAGGGACAACCAGAGCCTGGGGGGAGGGGCTGCCCTGGTGAAGGAGCGACAAAAGAGTGCAGCGCTGCCGCCGTCACCGCACGCGGAGGAAAAGCAGGATCGGGAGGGCCACACGGCTGCTCGCGCCCAGCTAGTAAAGTGGCAGAAATGACAGTTGCCCCCACCCCCCCAACTTCTCATCACTTCTCGCCAGAAGGTGTCTCTCTTTAATACCAGAAAATCTGAGAACCATTCAGATGCCCGGAGAACGCGTGAGCAGCCTACGGCCCGGCCCTCTCAGCGTGCGAGCAACAAAACACACAAGCATCTGAAGACCCTCGGCGGGCAAGGGGGGAGCGGAACGCACAACTGCACACGCCCCAGGCTGCTGGGCGTTAAAACTATGCCCACCAGGGGAAGGGGCGGCGGACACAGGCTTGGGTCCTCTGAGGACCGTGTTCTGGTCTCTCGGGCACGCGTGCTTCGTTACAGGAGGGGCTACAGGTAACGTGGGGGGTGACCGTAAAGGCCACAAAGCGGGGGATCGCGGCTGTCCGTATGAGAAGGGCACGCAGTTGCTGTGCTGGCTGCACCGTTCTAAGCCCCGGGGAAAGCGGAAAAGACTTGCGTTAACGACCTTCTGCTCCCTGCACTGCTGACTTCCTGTCATCTGAACTCACATGAGCTGCGATGCACATTCGGAGCGAAGGATGGCCGCGGCCCCCTTTCCCGGCACCAGGAAACTGAACTACACACATCACAAAATCAAAGACCTGATGTTAAAAAACTGGGAGGGGGCAGAGGAGACCTCCTACAATCACAAATTATTATTTTTTAATGTTTATTTTTGAGAAAGAGGAGAAGGGGCAGAGCGGGAGACTGAGGATCCAAAGCGGGCTCTGGAGCTGACAGTGGAGAACCCGGTGCTAGGCTTGAACTCCGAAACCACGAGATCATGACCTGAGCCAAAGTAAGATGCCTAACAGAATGAGCCAGACACGCACCCCAACCACAAACTCTATTAATTTTAAAGTTTCTTTCTTTATTTTGAGAGAGAAAGCACACACGGGGGCAGGGAGCAGAGAGAGGATGAGAGAGAGAACCAAGCAGGCTCCATGCTTTCAGCACAGTGTGTAACCGAGAGCGCCACCCAGGCGATCCTCAACCACAAATTATTTTTAAAACAAATGATTAATCTCATGACAAAGGGCCCTTTCCTGGGCTCAAGCTTTGTGAACATAACAGACGACTGCATAAATACGTACATTTAAAGAGGTGCCTATGCAGTGAATGCTGAATGTAGAAAATTTCAGTTTGCAGATTTTTAAATGGCTTATCTCCCCGTGGGCCTTCCTCAAGTCAGGAGGCAACAATCTGGGACGTTCCCCACTGCATTTGTAAGTACCTGCAGCCGTCTGCATAGGTTTAAGACAACAACGAAGTCACCTACTTTACTTAGAAGTCTCTGAGCCGCTTCGCTGAAATCAACCATTTAATCCGTAAAGAAACCACCGCTTTGATCACATGTGCAAACAACTCCCGCACCAAGTCTGCTGGGCCACAGCGGCCTCTCTCCGTTTTCTTCATAGTCACCTTTTAGACCCTTTTTCTCCAAGTACTAACCAGCCCAGACCCTGCTTAGCTTCCGAGATCAGACGAGATCGAGATCGGGTGCGTTCAGGGTGGAATGGCTATAGACTAGACCCTTTTTCTTAAGTGCCTGCTTCACTGAAAAATTCCCCCTCCAAGTCTTAACGGCACAGATACATTGTAATCTTTGCTATCCTACACAGACCTGTGCTCTAGACCTAAAGAGGAAGAGGCTCTCACCCTCTGTGGAAACCCATCAACCCTTTGCGAAGGTACTGACTGAACACTGCGACCATGAGCTCATCAGCGGCAATGAGGCAGGACGGACAGGCAGCCGAGCCAACCGGGGGTGGCCAGGAGCACGCACTTAGGTAATCTGTGTCCTAGTGACATCTTATCACTCCTTCCCCTCCCTGCAAACAATCCGAAGCTGCGGGTATCAGTGGGGTCAAGAGCCAGACACGGCGGCGGCACTTAAATAAAAAATGCTGCCTCTACGTGGGGAGAAATTAAGTCATTCAGGTCAGGGCAGAAAGAGAAGGGAGGATACTACTCTAAAAGATAAAAACCCTGACAAGGGCATTACAGGATTTAAAGAGTCCTACTGGACCAGAAAATTCTTGAATCTAAAGATAAACCCTGAAATAGAAAATCTTTAAGTTTTACTATTAAAAGATCAAGACTGTTTTCTTCTTTGGAACGGGGAGGGCCTCTCTATAACTACTGATCATTTTCAGGTAATTCATCAAATCTGATCAATAACTGATCAAGTAATTTCATCACAATCAGTTATAGTCTTAAATGGAATTGAACTGTGCTGAAAACAGAAGGCATCGCATGAGATGAAAACCGTGCTTTGAGTAGAAGTAGAAGTACCTTTCTCCTTCCGTGGAGCCTTGGACACTGGAGGGGAGAAGACGAACTCCACTTCCGGCTCCGGGAGGTCGGGGGGCGAGACCCTGGTCCTCCTCCTGCCACGCGCAGGCCCTTTGGCTTCCGGGTCACCACGTTCTTTCAGGTCTTTGTCGGTGTCTTTTTCCGATATTGAGCGTAATGCACGTGTGCGGCTTTGATTTTCGGTCCTTTTTGTAAGCCTTCTCTCCTCGCTGGTCTCGGCGGTGAGCTCCTCAGCTGGCGCCAGAACGGACCTCGGCACAGCTGGCTTCCCCGCGTCAGCCTCGCCGCTCCTGGCCGGGGTGCTCCTGGCGGCCCTCCTCTGGCGGCCGGGGGTCTGTGTCTTCTTGGGACTCCTTACCTCCTTGGTGGCCTTGGAGCCCACATCTTCAGGTGGATTTTTCCTCGGTCGACCTCGTTTCCTAGGCTGATCTGATTCGGCCTCAAGCGCCACCTGGGATGCGTCAAGTTGGGAGTCTTCTGGAACACCCAGTGTGCTGAATTGTCTCTTAGCCCTTCTGTCCTGCTGGACAAGTGCTGCCTCGTCAACTTGCATGGGATCTGGTTTGCGTCCTACACTTCCAGAAGCTCCTGCGTTAGCACTTCTCAGTTTTCTGGTGCTTCTGCCAGAATGTGCTGCTTTACTAGCGTTCCCATCTTGATCTACCACCATCTCCATGCTGTCAGCATTATCCACTGCTTTTTTACTTCTTCTTGGGGTCTTTTTGGTGACAGGTGAAAGCTTGTTTTTGCCACCTTGCTTATACCCCGTATTTTCGGAAGCCCCGATTTTAGCACTTCTCAGTTTTCTGGTGCTTCCACCAGAACGTGCTACTTTACTAACTTCGATATCTAGATCTACCATTTCAGCACTGTCTTCATTTTCCACTGCTTTTTTAATTCTTCTAGGGGTCTTTTTGGTGACAGATGAAAGCTTGGTTTCTTTAGCTGCCGGTGCCCGCAGTGGAGAGGACTTGAACGTCCCGAGCCTGCCGTCTGCGGGGGCCGGGTGCTCCTGTGCCGTCGGAGCATCACTTTCTAATGTGCGTTGAGGATCTTCCTTTCTCTTCCGTCCTCCCCGAGGAGTACCAGAATCTGGAGGTATCTGCCGGTTCTGAGACGCCCCCACGAGGTCTTTTGTCCTCCTTGCTCGCCTCCCGCCTGAAAGCCCCAGGGCGTCGGGGGTGGCAGCAGCCTCGGGCTCCTCCTGTTGAGCTGGAGTGCCGTTCAGGTCTGGGATGCGCTGTCCTCTCCCGCGCGTTCTGGACGAGACCATGTCCCGCACCTGGCTCACGTTTACAGTCACTGTACTCGTTTCCTGAACAGTCTTCAATGTAGATCTGCCTACTTTGCTGGGGCAGACTAGCTTCTGGCTTATTAAAGGTATGTTTTCATGAATGGACGATGGGTCCACTGTACCGGAAGTAATTTCTTTACTTCTTGTGTCTTTAATCACATCTAGTAAGTTTTCTGCAATTGCAACTTGAATTGGTTCAGGCACATATGGTAACGTCTCTATCTTCTGGGACTCCTGGTCACTCGCGGTGATGGACGGGGAACCTGCGGCGCGTCCGTGACCACTGTCCTCCCCGCCGCATGCGTGGTTCTCCTCCGCTGCCATGTTCGCTGCCTTGGCTGACACACTGGATGCTGCAGAACCACCTGCCTCAAACTCTCCTTCTTCACCTTCCAGGATCAAGGTAAAGTTGCTCTGAGCCCCAAAAAGCTCCCCGTCTACTTCGGCAATATCACACTCAGCGGAGTCTTTGTTATCAGGTAAGTCACAGAACTGCTGCTCAATGGTATCAAAATTATACTGGAGCTTAAGTGTCCCTGAGGGATACAACTCAGTGAATGAAAGATTGCTAGCCTCGCGTCCTGAACCTTGAACTCCAAGCTTTTCATGTTCAATCGCCTAAAATGAATTAAAGATAAAAGATGGGTTAAAGGATTTTAACATATTTATTTTAACCTAAAGCACAAAGTTTTTAAAAAATCACCTCACCCTTGGTGTATGAACTGTAAACATATAAACTACATTTGATATGGCCTATGCTTATGGGTTTACTTTATAAAATATCCATTTAAGCAAGCAGACATTATTACTGAGTCAAAATAACTAAACAGAAAAAGATTCTGAATGGAAGTAAAACAGAAATTCCACATTTCCCTAGGTAAAAAAAGGCATTCTTTATAAAACCTTGAAAATTATCATGATGCTAATAACAGTTGTGAGACGAATTTAAAGGACTTATTCTGTTCTCACCCGAGAAAAAAAAATTAACTGGAGAAAAAGAAACAACCCCCAAATTGTGTTTTAATGGTAATCCCCAAATTGCCTAACTAACCACACTTTTTCTAAATAGCACGATCCCCATAAGGTTGAAGAAGAGTTCACCTACATAAGCTCCCTTGGGCTAGACTCAATCCTCTTCCCTTTGCTGGGGCTGCATAAACCATGAAATTCCTAAGGCTTTCAAGTTCAGTACCTCTCTTGCAAGGGTTTGGTGGAAGAAGGAATGGTCCTTGCATTTACCTTTTGGTAAGGGAAGGGGAGAAAAAGGAGGAGGTAGAAAGTAACAGAGAGATCTCCTGACCAAGAAGGTAGAACATTACCACCCACCTAGACAATAACATTTCCCACTCCCCAAACATTCAGTGAGAGGAGAGACTGGAAATACCCAGAGATCAAGTTTCTCACTCATACCATGCCAATTTTTATTAGCTTCCCAGATGAAGGAATGGGGACGTTATCCACCTATTTTACAGTGAGAATACTCATAAAAACAAATATGGATAAGCATGACACGATTATGTTAAGAAACTTCCCAGATACTACACAGCCACATTTCTATAAATTAGAGGTGTTTTTGGTTTATCTTAAAGTCATTTATCATATAAAAGTTGCCTATTGATAGTAAAAGAAACTTGATGGAATTTTTAGAAAGCATAAATCGTATTAAATACCAAAATATAAAAATAAAAAATAAAAAAAAAGGAAAGAAAAAAAATCCTTTCTCAAGGGTATAGAGGTTAAACCCCAGTCAGATGATGATCATTCTCCTACAAGTATACATGAGGGAAAAGGTCCTATTTTTTAAAAAAATTTTTTTAAATGTTTATTTTTGAGAACAAGAGAGCACGGAATGGGGGAGGGGCAGAGAGAGAGGGAGACAGAGAATCTGAAACAGGCTCTAGGCTCTGAGCTGTCAGCAAAGAGCCCAACGCGGGGCTCGAACTTGGGTATGGTGAGATCGTGACCTGAGCCAAAGTCGGAGGCTCACCTGACTGAGCTGCCCAGGCACCCCAAAAGTCCTATTTAACTGTATTCAATTATTTTCAAATATATGCTCTGAAGAGGTTCAATGTCATACTTGTCTCTGGGATGGCCAGTACCTGCCACCGTATGGCTAAAAGAGCCTTCATCTGAAGCAGGTACTAAGCAAAGATTAAATTGTGAGGGGCGCCGGGAGGACTCAGTGGGTTGGACGTCCAACTTCGTCTCAGGTCATGATCTCAACAGCTCATGAGTTCAAGGCCCACAGCAGGCTCTGTGCTGACAGCCTGGAGCCTGGTTTGGGTTCCATGTCTCCCTCTCTCTCTCCGCCACTGCCCAACTTGTGCTCTGTCTCTCAAAAATAAACTTAAAAAAAAAAAAAAAAAAAAAATTTAAATTGTTAAAATTGCGACAACATAGCCTTTTGGTTTTCATGCAAAACAATTTCTCACTTAAAGGATTTGTTCTTTTATATTCCACAAAATATTTACACTTTCTTTTCCACGCAATTATAAAGAGGCTTTTTAGATAGCAATCAGGTAAATCTATGCATTAGGTTTAAACTATGGCTTGAAAACTAACTAAACCAAAACTAACAAGTAAGTGAAAACTTAATTTTTTTACATGAATTTCTTGAGTATCCGGAGGGCTGTCAGAGACAGGAGGCTTTTCTTCTGCTAAGTCAACACCTGCTTTCAGTACATCAGCTGCTACTTCATGATCTTTTAAGGTCAGTGCTATCTCTCGGTCAGACTTATGATCAGAGGTAACAGGACTTTTGGAGACAATAAGCCCCAGGTCCCCAGGGTCACCACGGACATCGGCCGCAGCTGAAAGGAAAACGAGAGTTAATCCTCCAGGTTTTAAATGGAAAGAAAACCAAAAAGATACATACCACACTATTTGAGAAGTAACAGACAGGAAAAGGCTGTATTGCACTTGAGACTATTTCCTTGAAAACCAGACATATTGCCAAATGGCCTCTAATATCTGAAAGGGGAAAAGTCAGTGAGGGCTTACATGTTAATCCTCTCTCTTCAGTGTCCATTTGGTTTAAACAATGCATACTTGCTTTACACAAACACACAAATGATAAATTTTACATTTAAAAATTACAATACTGGGTTTTTTTTTTTTTAATGTTTATTTTTGAAAGAGCATGAGCAGGGTATGGGCAGAGGGAGAGAGGGAGACACAGAATTGCAAGCAGCCTCCAGGTTCCAAGCCGTCAGCACAGAGCTGGATGTGGGGCTCGAACTCATGAGCCGTGAGATCATGAACTGAGCCAAAGTCAGACGCTCAACTGACTGCACCACCCAGGTGCCCCAGCCCGTGTTCTTTTCAACTTGGATAGAAAGATTTCTTGCCCTTACTCTGAAACTTCAGTATGAGCCCAACTGCTCTGAGGGGCTCAGATGTTTGTTCCCCATTCATTCGTCAGGTGACTAGTGGCACCCAGCTCTCCCTGCTGAGCCATTACAGGACGTGAAGGACACAGTCTGGGCTTTCTCTCGCTACAGAGAGGACTAGATCTCTCTCTGTGAGCAGAAAGCATCCAAATGGCCACAAATACACTCTACCACTTGGAAAAACTGGAAGGGAGCTGAGGGAGGGCAACAACTCATCTAAAAAAAAAAAAAATTCCTCCTTTTATCTATTTGCCAGTGATTTATAGGTCATTAGCACCCATGATTATTTATATGTCATTTGGGTTTGTGAATGACACAAAATACAAAACACTTCACGGCGGGTGTGTGTGTGGGGGTGTCTGACTAAATCAAAAGCTTTTAGAGTTTAACAAAAAATAAAAAGGTTGTTAAAAAAAAAAATGAGGAAAAATATTTTCACACTTTTGACAGATAACGGGGCTAGCGTCCCTAATATGAAAGACAGCTTATAAAACAAAATGAAAAAAGTTGTCCCCTGTCCATTTGGCAAGAGGAATGGGAAAACACGTACTTCACCTTCTGATTGTGAGTGTACAAAAGCAGTGAATAACCTGTGCTGGAGCAAATCATAGAAGTCTGTGCATATTCCTTGACCTGCGAGGCAAGCCTGTGGTTTGGAACCACTGAACAGAAATACGGACACAAAATGTGCAAAGATACGGATACACAAAAAAAATTCAATGCAGAAATGAAATGGAGAAACAGGAATGATCGGCCCAGGTGCTCCTCAACATGCAACGAGTTAAGCATACCACAAAACGTCCATACTAACAAACACTACCAGGGCTGCTGAAAAGGACAGCATTAATCTAGATTAATGACGTAGGAAAATGTCATATATATACTGCTAACTGAAAAAAAAAAGAGTTGCTTTTTCGGTAATAAACTGATGATAATTTATAATCCTAGCTAACATTTACTGAGCTTTTATTAACATTTAAAAGTATTAATATTTTATAGAAAAGCAATGGGAGGTACAGGCTGTAACCTTTACGTATTTTAAAGTGCAGAGCTGGGTTATGAATCCAAGCAAAGCCTCCACACTTACCTTTTCAACACAAGCAGGAAAATATGCACAAAGACAGAAACCCAGGAAAGATACTTTAAATTGTCCATAATGGATCCTTAAAGTAGATGACCAGGTTATGGGGATTTCTACTTTACTTGGCTATGATCTCCTCGTTATTTTACTATAAACACATATTTCATTCAAGGGGCACCTGGGTGGCTCAGCTGGTTAAGCTACAGACTCCTGGTTTCAGCTCAGGTCATGATCTCGCAGATGGTGGGATTGAGACCCACATTACGCTCTGCACTGACAGTGTGGAGCCAGCTTGGGGTTTTCGCTCTCTCCCTCTCAAAAATAAACTTAAAAAACAAAAAACAAAAAACAAAAACAACAACTACATTCTTAATGAGGGGGAATAAACCAAAACCAAAAACCAAGTTTATTCAAGTCTGTCCTAATCCCTATTCATGATATGACGGGCAGGAGGGTGTTTCGTTAAGAGCATGAGCTTGGAGTCAGCAGCAACATTGTATTGGTAGGTGATCACGCTAAATGCTAAGTTCTGGGCATCAGCATTCAAGATGTCTGCTTTCCCCAAACCCAGCTGTAAGCTGAGGAAAACACAGCTCCCTCATCTCTATATGGCCAGGGTCTAAGAGAAGGCACTTAAAAAAAAAATGTCATTGGATTATTAAAATAAAAAAAGAAAAAATCAAATGAACTTTATATGTTCGTTAACTTCCCTAGAGAAAATTCAGTCTGGCTGGGGACTGATAACTTATTTTACTCTTCTTAGATGTTCTGAAGGAAAATATGTCCACAAAAAGCCTTCTAACACCATTCTACTATCAGACCACAGAATGCCTTAGGAGAGACTCTAGAACCTGACTAAAGAGGTAAAACTGTGGTAAGAAAATCTAGATAACAGATTCCTTTGTTCTAAGAATAGAACACTCCTGAAACACTGTAACAGAATTATTCGTTACAGTGCTTCAAAATAATGTATATACGCTTCGGTTACCTGCTCCGCTTCGGTTACCTGCTCCGCTTCGGTTACCTGCTCCGAGTGAAGAGGTGCAGGCCTCCACCGACACTACTCCTTCGTCCAGAACTGGCACCCCCAAATTCCAGGTGAGGACTTTCCTTTAAAAACAGAAATATGCCAGTGAGCATGTATGAAGGCCCCGCCTGCTCTTACACCTGAGTTAACCACGCTCCTTCTGCTACATGCCCTACAGGTAATGAAAACCAAGGTTCAGAGAACCAAATACCACCCTAGTTCGGTTTGAAGAACACTCTACAATCTGTAAGTGAATTCAGAAACAAGCAATGCTGGATTTGGTGCTCCCATCTTCTAGGACTTCAACCTGTTGGCAACAGTGGCATGACCTTAAATTACAAGTACAAGTACTTTAAAACGCTGGTCAGTGTAAATTACACTTATGCTGGTTTTTAAATTATCTGTGGGCAGACCCTTAAGTAAGTCTGTCAGGTACTATGGAGTACCGCCTCTATCCGCAGTAAAATCAGGTTCAGTATTTCAGTGTTATGAAAAGAGGATGATAAAACAGTGGGAGACCGATGGGGCCTGTATCACTAGATTAAAGTTAAGTTCTGGAAATATGGGGACAGTGATCCCTTCGATCCCTTCCTGTGCTGAGCTAGCCTCTCCCCAACTAAATCATGCTAACTTTGTGAGAGGGGACAAAATAAAATTATAAACTCGAGAAAAAGCATGCATTTGGAATATATACGTTTATTTCATAGGTGTATTTTAAAGAACTTATCTCACAATGTCAGGATAACCAAGAACTGATAAATTTATATTTAAAAAGGACACAGCTTGTTATGATGGAGACTATTCACCTAGATTATTACCGGTCACCACAAAGTTTGTCACGTGACTGTGTTTGCTTTGCAACTGTTGCAATTAACAACCAAACCCACCGCAATAAGTATTATTTTCATTGAAATTCAAGAAATGTGAGAATGGAATAATAAAAACAATCTAGGTGATCTTTTCATATTACGTCCTCCCACTTTTTGTGTGAAGTCCCAGCAAAGAGTCCGGCTAATCAAGATCTGTCTTCTCGGAAGGGAAGCACCTGACTGAGGTCACGAAGGAGACGTGACTGTAGCGACACTGATTTTTGTGGGTGCTTTGTGAACTCCCTCAGGCCCGACAGAGCGATGAACCATCGACAGTATCTTAAACGATCATGCTGTGTGTGCGTTCATTCGCCCTTGCTGCTTCCTGATCACCAAAGCTGCTACTTTTCTGTACTCTGCAACTGCGCTGCTCAGGCTCCGGGTGTGCGAGGTGTCCACCCTGCAACCAGACCGAGGCGCTTCTGCTAGAAGGTCCATCACGTCACTGCTTAGTTCAGCGGACTCTCAAGAAGGGATGCGGTGCACAGATTGATATTCTAATACAAGCTGCCTGTCTGCTGTGTCGCAGAACATAAACCAATCAGGAGCCAGGGTCCGTCTGCTGGAGCACACTGAGAGCACCCCAACATCATCTAGGGCAGTGCCCACATGTGCAAACACTAAATAAAACTGGGGCGGGGGGCGCACAGTGCTTCAGGCAGTCATTCAAAACCTAAACTTGGCTGGAGTTTCATATTCACTGGATGGCAGGAACAGCATAGCCTCTGTCTATACTATCAGACAGCTCATTGGCCTGAAGCCACTGGAAATGGAGGGCGTGGAGGAATATACAGCCATAAATCAAACTCCAGTCTTCAACAAAAATGGAATCACCAATAAATATAAAAGGAGATCTGCCTCAACTCATCGTGACTTCAAATATTCGGGAAATGTCTACTTTCATTCTAGGATTCATGGTAACTACTAAATAACACACATTTGTACCAATGGAAACCGTTTAAATGGAAACCGTCACTGGAGTGGGAATGTCCAAGATCTAAAATAAAAGCTAGCCTATGCACCGAATATTAAACTACTGGCTCACCGTTTTAGTACACTTTCTTAACACGGGAACTTTTCTCTGCTAACTTACCCTTCATGGGCTGCTGGTACATAGAGCGAAGCTTCGACTCCTTGAACGGGGCTCGAGTGACTGAGTTCTGCAAGTTCCGCATGACTGAGTTCTGCAAGTTCCGCCTCTGCAGCCACCTCTTCCAAAGGGCCTGGAAATCACGCGGTGGAGAACACTTACAATGATTTATGCCACATGTTTAGCGATTCCTCACGGTCCTTCTTGGATGATTACTTTTGAACAAGTCTGTTGGGTCTGCTTTTTTATACGGTTAGGTTTACTCGCTCGGCATCAGAAATACCAACAGGTCCTTCGAATTCTCTGAGCCCAGTCCAAGGGCCCCCTTACCCCACCACTTCTCACTTCTGGCTTCACGCGCAAGTGTTGTACACGGATCGACTCACTCAGTCATCAACAGCCAAAGTGGTCAAATTATCCTCCCCATTTTATAGATGAGGAAACAGAGGCACACAGTCACATCTTATCCCAGGCCTAGTAAGTAGCCAATCATGGAGATTCAGTCTGTTTTCTACAGTTTGTGCCTTAGGATGCCCCATGAGAACAGAAGTTTCTATTTGAGACTGCCTGATCTTTGTAGGAACATCAATGAAGATACTGCCATGAACATCCTCTGTTTCATCACTCAATTATTTTAGGGGAACAGAACACATCCAAAGTGATGTCAACATGTAGACAGGTGCTATTCACGGGGACAGCCATAGGCTCTTAGAGCAATTACTGATGCCTCTGTTTCTGAAACAGACCTCAGAGCCCCAAAGAAACTACCAGGACACAGATTTTTATAGAAGTACTCAATTTAACAGTTTGAGAGTCAGGAGTTACCTTTAAATATTCCTATTAAAACTGAGCAGGGGTTTGAAGCATGAAAAAAGAGACTAAATTTCTGATGCAATTCTCAGCCAAGTCTCTCCTCTCTCTGGGGTTCCCCTGCGCCCTCCATGCCGCCTCCAGCAGCATGTATCAAACAACAGTGTAAGTGCTTGTTCATTTATCTAGAGTCCACTAGGCTCTAAGTTACCAACGGGCAGGGCTGCGTCTGCTCCCCTCACTGTCTGACCCTCAATCATGACCCACACAGAAAGCGTCCACCTGCTGCGCATGCCTGAGGGGCTCTAAATCTTTTCGATGGATAAATAAATGTAAAGCTATAAATTCATGGGCCCTTGGTTTGTTTTGATTGCCCCGCTCTTATTTTAGCAGTAGGGACTGTGACAAGAACAAATGAACGACCTGGTTTTCTAAGCAGCTTTCTAGGAAGTTAAGGCTGCTGGACAATTTAAAACCCGCACTAACAATTGAGTCTGCGGGGCTGTACTGCTACTCCTCACGGACAGAAGAGGGCGCGGAGGTGCGTGTGTGCACTGTGTCTACAAGCCAGCACGCTGCCACCGTGTGACTCTCCAGTCCCGATGCTTCTCTTACCATGGAAGAATTCTGTTACAAATTCTTTATCTGGAAATGAGTCCTTACCCATCTGTTTCTCCAGGTCTGGAGGAGTTACTTCTGATTCAAGAACTTCTGTATCACCGTCCTTCTCAGCCTGTTCAGTTACATTAGTAATTAGTTCTGTGGAAGAGCTCGCCGGCTTTGAGGCCACGGAAAGATCTTCCAAGTCTCCCGGGGACGGCGCATCCTGGTACTCCAAGGTGGTCTGGTCCGACCTGGTTGAAGTTCCGCTACTTTCTTTGCTCACGTCCAGTTTCTCCAAACTCTGTGAAGCTGCGTCCTCTGATCTCAGGTCTGATTCTTGATCGTCCTTTTCAGGACTGTTCAGGGCAAAGGCTGCCATCTTGTCTCTGCTCCTTAGCCATCTGCTTTCCTCCGGGGCTCCGCATTTATGGAAAGGGGTAGTAAAGGATAGTTTTGTTTTGCTCTCATTTGCACCCTGTCAAGTAAACGATTTTGGGGGAGAAAATACTGACTAGTAAAAGAATCATAGTTGAGCCTCAGCTATCCACACTTTCCATGTTTGCTATTTCTCTAGAATTCTCTCCTCAATCAACACTTAGTTATTCCTAAATCCATCCTCTCAGATAGAGAACGAATATACATACATGGCTGTGAACGTTTCCCTGACTGGTAACAAGACAGTTTTTCCAAAAGGCTAAACACAAAAGGCAAGATGACCCACTACCACCAAACGGTGCCCTGTGAATCCACAATGGAGCTCTGACAACATACCCACCTAAAAAACCAGTGAGAAGCAACACAAGATAAGGTGAGAAACAAACCACGGATTAAGAATTAGGAGGCTCCAGCCACCAAATAGCTATTTGATTACAGGCAATTTACTTGGTGCTTCTGGGCTGTATTTTCTTCACTTGTAAATGATGGGTCTGGCTTAGCCAATACCAGGAGTCTTTCTGAACTAATGTTTTCTGATTTCATGACTATCTGCGAGATTGCAAACAAAATCTACAGTGATATTATTTATTTGGCTTCATCTTTTCACTCCAAAAAGCTAATATATTCTTATTAAGTCTTTTTGGTTCAACTACGATCAGGCTTACTTCAGCAGTCCGTTTTGTGGCAATGCCTTCTTCCATGAATGAAATTCTAGTTTCTTTAAGTCGCAAAGGAGGGGTAAGGGACCTTCCAGGTGATAGAGATGGAGACGGTAATGGTGATGTTCGAAGACCAGACCTTAAGATGGACTGAGGAGTGAACTCGGCAAACCCAGAGGAAGTGATGGACATGGCCAGAGTTTTAGCTTTCTGTGACAAAGAACAAATGGAATTCTGCCGTTAGTATTTGTAAAAGGCACTTACAGAAGGACAGACAGGGTCAATGGAGTCACAGTGGTGGCTGTATGTATACATATGTATATATATATACATATATATACATATGTATATATATATATATATACACTCACCTCTAATAAACACATCAATAAAAACTTTTATCACAGATTACTGGGAAGAAAACACAAAATTCTACTCATAGGTTTCTATTTACAGAAAGCAACAAAAAAAACATAAAACTGTATCTATAATCATTCTAAAGACCTTGGTTGTTCCTAGTTTAAATTCCACTTAAAAAACAAAGCGTAGGAGCGCCTAGGGGGCTCAGTTGATTAAGCATCCGACTCTTGATTGTGGCTCAGGTCATGATCTCACGGTCTCGGAGTTCAAACCCCACATCAGGATCTGTGCTGACAATGTGGAGCCTGCTTTGGATTCTCTTTCCCTCTCTCTGCCCCTCCCCCGCATGCACATGCTCTCTCTCTCAAAATAAATAAACTAAAAAAAAAAAAAAATACAGTGTAGAGATAAATTATTTAATGCTTGCTTACAAAACTTTAGTTAGGCAGAGAGAAATGATAGTGTGCAATGAAAAGAACAGAGTTTAATTACAGCAAGTTAATACAGATGAGCCTGACTTTAAAACTGTTTTAAAAATTTTTTTTTATGTTTTATTTATTTCTATGAGAGAGAGAGACAGTGTGAGCAGGAGGGGGTCAGAGAGAGAGGGAGTCACAGACCGAAAGAGGCTCCAGGCTCTGAGCTGGCAGTCAGCACAGAGCCCGACGTGGGGCTCGAACCCATGAACGGCGAGATCATGACCTAAGCGAAAGTCGGACGCTTAACCGACTAAGCCACCCAGGTGCCCCATAAACTGTTTTTATAAAAAAATATAATTTCATCACACAACTCCAATAGTAACTGATTACTTATGGAAATCCTGAGGATTTTCCATAATCAATAGAAATAATTAGCACAGAAACTGTTTAGCAGAAATAATTCCTTCACTTAACTTCTCCTCTAAAGGACTAGCAGATTGTTGTATCCCATTAGATTACTGAATACCAACAGATCTATTTCAATTACTAGATTTTTTTGTCTAGATTATTTTTGGTAGTAGGCACAAAATATAATTACATGACAGAATATGGAATGTAATTTAACAAAATTTTTTAATGTTTATTTATATTTGAGACACAGAGACAGAGCGTACACAGTGGAAGGACACAGAGGGAGACAGAATCTGAAGCAGGCTCCAGGCTCTGAGCTGTCAGCACAGAGCCCGACGCGGGGCTCGAACTCATGAACTGCAAGAGCATGAACTGAGGCGAAGTTAGACACTTAACTGAATGAGCCACCCAGGTGCCCTGAGATGTGGTCTTTTTAATAGATGAAAACAAAGAAACAAAAACAAATTTAAGGGAAAAAAAGGAGGGGGGCAACACCTGAGTGGCTCAGTCGAGTGTCCGAATCTTGATTTTGGCTCAGGTCATGGTCTCAGGGTTCATGAAATCAAGTCCCGAGTGGGGCTCCATGTGGAGCCTGCTTAAGATTCCCTCTCTTTCCTCCCTCCACCTCGACCCAACTCACCTACTTTGTGCGGGGAAGCACTCTCCCCCCACAAAATAAGTAAATATTAGAAGAAGGAAAGAAAGAAAGGAAACAAGAATCACAGTATCCTGCATATTGAATGTCAGGAACTGAATTAGCTTATCCACCGTCTTTTCAACTTCTTTTAGTATTTTCAGACTGGCATTTATTGAACTATCTTACTCACTCTGAAAAGCAAGACTCCCCTGGCTCTGCTCGCAGTGCGGACTATGCAGAAATACATAAATATTTCTGGCCTAAATATGGGCAGAGCCTGTGGGACCCCGCCGGGCGCTGGGCTCGGCATCAGCGCACAGCCGGCACAAGACCCTGGCGGCGGCGGGACGGAGGCAGGTCTGCTGCTATGGTTTCCAGGGCTTCTCAGAGACGGTGGAGGAAAAGGAATCAGGCAGACAGGCTGCTAACAAGGGCTAACAGTTTACAGTTTCACCGAAGGAGAGAATGTATATAAATAAAAATGCCCCTGAGAACTGAAAGCATCTGATAGAAGGAAGAAGTAACAACAAAAAGGCAGCAGAGATGGGCGGGGGGACAAACCCAAGAGCGTGAAAGCTCTTTCCGAGGTTTTAACTTAGAGGTTTCAACTTGTAAGGACCACAGAGACTTGCGTTGCTCTAACAACGTCAGTGAGGCATACAAGGTAAATCCAGTAACAGTCTGTTTAAGATGTAAAAATACAGTTAACAGTTTGGAAAGGTAACTCCCCCTAATGGGTTTAAAGCTGTCAATTACCCAGAGAAACTGGTTAAAAACAGCTTCTCTCTTCTACTTGGAAAGTGAGAGCTTCCCAGCTTCCTTGCGAATGTAGGTACCGACTACTCACCTTCACGACAAACGGAGTTTCAAGTATGCGGAATTCTGAAGCCCTGGGAGAGCTCTGACGCGATCCTTTCTGCTGGGATCTTGATTGTAGTGAACTGGACGCTTGGTACAAAGGAGACTGTGGGGGGGTTTGCTGAGTGAATCTCAAACGCTGAGGAGGCTGGGGCACAGGATGGACGACCAAATCCAGTGGTCTGTAATCAAGGCACACACACAGGGCACAGAGATCCGAGTAACTCACTTGCCGACAGACTCATTTGCTAGACTCATTTTTATGAGCACGTACAAATTCCCAGCACCTGCACAGGACCTACATAACGAATCCTGGCATGCTCTGCCGTTATGGCTTTTACTGCAATGCAAGGATGATCACCAAGCCACACACAATCTTTATTTTTTCAAATTAATGAGGACAGTGACAAAATGGAATCCCAAGATTCTGCTGAATGTTTTCTAGAAGGTCCTGGGCGTACTTCACACAAATGATATAATTAATCTCATCAATAATTTGTATTAAGCATGCATAGTCCCAACACCTTAAAAACTTAATTTATAGGTAAAGAATTTACATTCAAAGTGAAAATTCAGGTTACAAATCCTGATGGACCATTTATTTGCGTAGGTCACTCCTCCCCCAATGTCCTCATAAACAGTCTGCTTGATGGTTATATTCTGTAGCAATAAGAACAAAACATTTTTACTTCCCCCAAATGACTCTATGGTTCAGCTGCGAAGAACCAGAGAGGTACCGCCTGTCTGGTGCCCAGGAATCTCCCCCACCCCCGCCGTCCTTGCCCTTCTGTTCTCTACATTCAAGTGAGATTTTCACGACTGGGCCAGTAGATGAACACAGTTCACAGACGGGGGCTTTAAGACTCCACCTGTGACCTGGTGGGAAACATTTGTAGGAAGCATTATCTTAATAATGCTTATTATTCTGTACTAATAAGCATAGCCTTGAGATTTCCACCAAACCAAACATACCCAATCAGGCCACTAAATATTTCTTTCTCTGTTGCCTGTTCCAATTCTTGTTTTCCTTCTCTGGGTCACTGGTATTCAAAAATCTGTAATTGTAAACTGCTCACTTTTAGACTGAACTATTCCCAAATAGGTGTTTTGTTAAATGCCTTTGCACTGTGTTAATATTTATGCTCAAGGTGCCTATTTATAAATGATCCTCAAAAGCACGGCCTGTGCAACAAAGTTACCTACTTAGTAAATGAGAAACTCTTATACTCATAAGACCTAATATATATAAATTCTACTAAAACAATTAAAGAAAAGACATTTTTTGATTATGTTATTTCCTTTAAAAATGTGGTTCTTAGGATTTCTACAATTCTTATACCACTGTAACAGTAAGTAATGCATTTCAGGTCATACGCACACACAAAACATAAATTACATAGAATAGCATATATACATATATGCCTTACTATATGCAGTGCCCACTGACATTACCTTTCTGTTTTGTGGAAAGACATGCTAGTCACAATCCATTAAATTTACGTACTACTCACTAATGCAAACCAGTTTGAAAAAACAGAATTAGGGAATGGAATGATTTCTATAAAAATAAATATTCACACCTCAATGGACTTTCTTCCATGTGAGTTAATCATAGCTTTGAAGGATTCTCAGTACTTCTTTTTCTTTAGGTCCTTAGGCCATTAGTCATGAGTCTGAAAACTTTTATTATTGTTCCCCTCTTGAACCCCAGATCTATTAAAGTACAAAGGGACTGAGAAAAAGTGACTTGTGGGGGAAAAAAAAATGGAACTACTGACAGGAAAACAGAATGACAATAATAATGACTTTTATTTGAGATAATCTTCCTGGTAATAAAAACAACCTCGACCTAATTAAATCTAACCCCCAAACAGAAAACCTTGTAAAGCTTTGAAAATACATATGCCCACTTTACTATAAAAAGCTTTGGCCCCAACTGTTTGTAAATTACTAATTTCTTCCGAGTACTTTAAATTCAGATCATCTGATTCTCCCAAAATAATGTAATTTCGTTCTTGATAAGATGTAAACGATCAGTTATGTACAACAATCATGAGCCTGGTATTAAAGACAAGGAATCAAACGTTAAGAGACACCTGATTGTTCTCTGCTACTGAGGGTATGAATACTTTTTCCAACAATCCAATATTTTAAATGAAACAATCACAATTTCATCTTGGATGCAAAACTTCAACTTAACTATTTCCTCTCCTAAAACACAGTTGAAGATGGACAAGTATGACTGCATCTGAAGCCACGTAGGCATTTAGCGGGCTCTGCCAGCACAGGACAAAGTTCCAGTGAGCCAACCAAGATTAGTCACAAATTATACAAACAAACTTCAGTCACAGATCAGTCAACAAGGAAATTATATTAAAGAAAGCAAGTTAATAGTTTACTTTGCTCATGATTTTAATAAAACAAAGTTTGCTTCTTTCCATTAAGCAATCTGAAATCATTCAGCGAAAATTCTAAGTAGACTAGCAGCTGGTGTAAAGTTCCCTAAAATTACTTACACAACTTACCAAGTTATAAAAAAATTAAAAACAAGCATAAAAACTCATTCAAGGATTTAAAATAAAGTTTAAAGATAATTAAAAATTACAGTGCAAGTATTATCTAACATTGTGACTTCAGAATGATTTAATTAAAGTCTTACCTAGAAACTTTTTGTGATGCTTTTAAAATTGGTGTTCCAACAAATGCCTCAGGCATTTTTGCATGTGAGATAGAAGGAGAAGGTCCTTCTGGTTTAGGACTACAAAGAAAATAAAAATTTAACTTTGGATTATGTATTATGAAGAGTATTATGTTAAAATATGCTTTAAGAAGAGGGGAGAGGGGGCTCCTGGGTGGCGCAGTCAGTTGAGCGTTTGACTCTTGATTTCAGTTCAGGTCACAATCTCACGAATCATGGGATTGAGCTCCGCATCGGGCTCTGTGCTGAGAACGCAGAGCCTGCTTGGGATTCTCTCTCACTCTCTCTCTCTCTCTCTGCCCCCTCCCTCTCTGCCCCTCCCACGCTTGTATGCATTCTCTCTCACTCTCAAAATAAACAAACTTAAAAAAAATGAGATGTGATTAGAGAGGAGAGGAGGGCTTTCACTTTTTACTTTGTACATTTCTGCTTAGTTACAAATAACAATAAATATAAATGCCTTTAAATTTAAAGACAAAAAAAATTCTTCTTACAGTAAGAATAGTCAACATACAAACTCTTCCTTTTTGCACACACTAATAAACTCTAAGGCTGGATCGCTGATGACGGCTTCTGACCTCCAGGGAGGCTTAGTGAGCAGCCAGGCGGTCCCGGGGTGTGAGGAGAGCGTACCTGCTGCAGGCTGACGGGCCGTCCGCAGGGTCACTGTTCTCCCAGACCTCTCCGATTTTAGACAACACGCTGCTGATGAACGTAGATCTTGTTAACACAGTCCCTGTTCTGGTCTGCTTGGTAACAGTGGACAATGGTTTGGGTCTAGAAACTGTAATACAAAGAATGTGAGGTTTAATTTCATCTCTAATACCAGGATTTTACTAGATTAATATGAAAGAGCAACTGGAAAACAGGGGTCACGAGATAAGAGTAGTTTAAAATTATACTTGGCTTAGCAACATCTATGCAGCAAGATTTAACAACTTGAGCTTTCAGGAGGCAGTAAAAATATTACTTGCCATGTTCTCTACTAGCTGCATGGGAGTGTCCAAATGAAATACAATGAGTTCTTTTATTCTGTACTACACTGCTAAATTATAAACACTTCCAAGAAAGCTTTATATCGGGGGGAGGAAGGATGGGAAGGGGCAGCTAGGATGGCCAGTAAAAAAAAAAGCAGTACTGTAATGAATCAAAGCAAAAGTGAGCTGAAGAGAAGGTAAGTGTTTTCAGAAGGTAATCATCCTTTCTCACCTGATAGTTTATGATAGTTTTCAATGAAATCTTATTACCTTCTTGAAGCACTGGTGATGTGGACAGATGGTAAGGCTTAGCTTGCTCAAAGGCTAATTTCCGCTGGATTTTAGGAAGGACTTTCCCATATTGGTCTATTATCGCATTCCGAACCTCTGATCTCTCTCGCAGAAGAGGGTCACGATCATTCTATTGAACATGCCGTGATTGGTAAAGATTTAATCTTCAAAACATTAAGTGCTATGTTTACATATTTACCATTTAGAACAGAATTCTGCACACCTGAGAATGTCTTCCTCCTTCCTACATATCCCTTCCTCCTGACCCAGGACCTCTGACGCACACCTAACTGCATTGGCAGTCCCTGCCCATCAGCCTCGGTCCTTCACAACTACTAAAACAGCAGCTATCGTTCACTGAGCGTCTACACGGTCAGGCACCATGTAGCTCCGGACACACCTCTATGCACCCCCACAAAGAGACCTTGTCATTTTACAGATGAGGAGCTGAGGCTCAGAGGATGTTTCAGGCAGAGTGCAGAGCAGAGTCCATCGGACCCCTGAGCCCGTGCTCCTCGCACTGTGAGAACTCCGACTGCCCGCCCGCCTCTTCCTCTTGTTCCCGAGTGAGGGGCTTAGCCTGGCAAGAACTGTGGGCAGTCGGCTCAAAAGAAACGGCACACGTGAGAGAATTAGGGAAGCACCGACACCCTGTTGCCCATCTGCTACCGAAAGCAAGGAGGGGATTCTCCGAGCTCAGGATTATGTAACAAACCCAGTGGTTACCAATGCACAAACTCTTACAGAGCAAAGTCACCAGCTTCCCTGTTCTCTTGTCCCCCCAAATGAAACAAGTTTCACTCTACCGTGAGGTTGGCCTTCAGAGTTTGGTTCAGCCTCAGGGCAGAGGCGTAATTGGCACGCTGCAAATAGTGAACTAGAAGGAATTCCTGATTTCGAACATTGGGGCTGGACTGCAGAAACCTCACCAAGCACTCCTGGGAAGAAGCACAAACACGTGTAAGCCACTAACTGCCCTGACCTTCTGACAGGCTGGGGTGGGGGGTCCTCACCTGCTCGGTGTCTGTGAAGGGCAGCTGCAGCAAGTCCTCCATGAGCCCCGTCTCCTGGCAGACCTCATATGTGTGCCTCAGGAGGTCCTCCACGTTCAGGCCAGTGGAGTGCTGTCGCAGGAAAGCCCACGCCTCCACCACGTACCTGGAACCGGCGTTCAGCACGATTTCGTGTTAGAAAAGAGTTGGAGGTACTTAAAACAAGCGATCCACCTACAGAATCTTTGATGAAATACTCATTGTCACGGGTGCCCATGCGGCTCACTCGGTTACGAGTCCGATGCTTGGTTTCAGCTCAGATCTTGCTTGCACCATTTGTGAGCTTGAGCCCTGCACAGGGCGCTGCACTGACAGCACAGAGCCTGCTTGGGATTCTCTCCTGTTTCTCTGACTCTCCCCTGCTCACTCATTCGGTTTGTCTCTCAAAAAAAAAAAAGAAAAAAAACAACAAAAAACAAAAAACTAGGGATCATTGCATAATGACGTTTGCTAACGCCAACAAGAAGACTTCCCGTGATGCTGTTCTGGACTATTACTCATGTGTAAACAGGAAACCTCGGTAAGGACACGAGCTAACGTGGTCCGGGTGGAGGAAGGGAAGGGTAGTGGTGCGGCAGAGAAAAGCGCCTCTCATGGAAGAGACCCCCAGGGTGCAGACAGTGGACATGGAACAGTGTTTACGGGCCGGTGATGGGCTTACTTAGCTCAGTAGAAGAACACTGTGACTGTGTTCTTTAAGTAAGATCTGATTAGAGAACACGGGTTCAGTTAGACACTTTTGGGGGCGCCTGGGTGGCTTAGTCGGTTAAGCGTCCGACTTTCGCTTAGGTCATGATCTCGCGGTTCGTGGGTTCNATTTATGAAGTCAGATATACACCTACCTTATGGTCGAGCAATGTTAGATCTAGGTATTTTCCCCAAAGAAATTAAAACGTATTCACAAAATGTTTATGACAGTTTTATTCATAGCATCTAAAAATTGCAAACAACCCAATTTCCATATAGAAAAGAAATGTATAGGGGCGCCTGGGTGGCTTAGTTGGTTAAGCGTCCGACTTTCGCTCAGGTCATGATCTCGCGGTTCGTGGATTCGGGCCCCGTGTCGGGCTCTGTGCTGCCAGCTCAGAGCCTGGAGCCTGTTTCAGAGTCTGTGTCTCCCTCTCTCTCTCTGACCCTCCCCTGCTCATGCTGTCTCTCTCTCTCTCTCCTAGAAATAAATAAAAATAATAAATTAAAAAAAAATTAGACTTTTGGACATCGCATGGGGGTCAGGAGGCTATCCTTCCATGGGCAATAAGACCATCAAATAAGCAGTGTTTCTCATGATATACTGTTAAGTGGGAAAAAAAAAAAAATAAAGCAAGCTTACAACAGTACAAACAGTAATTATTTTAAAAAATTAACCAATGAACAAAGCCTATAAACATTTACGTCCTTATTACGTAGATAACAAAACATCTTGAAAGCCAGGAGAGTATGGGGGTTTCTGGTTTTCAACAATAGATATTTACATGCTTCGAAATGAGTCAAAAGGATACACAGCACACTCCCAGACTCTTAAGCTGCTTCTCGGTGCCCAGGCAATGCTAACAATCTCGTGCATCCTTCCTAAGAAGTTCTGGATATACGTAAGAAAATACGTATCTGTTTCTTCCCACCACTACTTAAAACTCTCTGTCCCCACTTTCTGAAGAGCACTTGTTGGCATGTAATGAACCTATTTACTAAATAAACATTTATCACCATTAGCTTCTTTAAAAATTTTTTTTTAACATTTATTTTTGAGAGACAGAGTGCAAATGTGGGAGGAGCAGAGAGAGAGGGAGACAGAATCCGAAGCAGGCTCTAGGCTCTGAGCCGTCAGCACAGAGCCCAACGCGGGGCTTAAACCTATGAACTGTGAGATCATGACCTGAGCTCAAGTGGAACGCTGAACTGACTGAGACACGCAGGTGCCCCTTTCTTTCTGTTCAGTCCATATTTATTCAGCTAGCTGAATGCTTCTGGCTGATCCAAATTATTTCATTTCAACAAGTACTTCCTAATTCATTACTTTTGAGGACACTGGCAGTTTCCACTTAACCAACCCACTATTCCACTAGGGAACTTATCTTCTATCTGAGATGGAGAGATTCAACCCTCTCTTCTCAGAGATGCACTGTTTAACACAAGAGAACAAAGAAAACACTGACTTTCAGAGTGCTGGCACTGAGGTGGTGTTTGGCTCATTAAGGACAATTTGCCACGAGTAAAGTGACTGTTTTCTAAAAATATAAAAATGACCAATTGACAGAACTAGAAAAAAATGAGTTGTATAAGACAGTTACATTCAAGTAAGAAATACTAGCTCCAAGCAACTTCCCCTACTAATTTGGTTAGCAAGGAAACCTGATAATCAGATCACTGTATTTCCAATCATGACATTTAACTTGTCGCCATTACATACATGACAGATAACGTAACTGCAGATATGTGTTGCTATAATATAAATGGCAAATATCATACTGAGTAGAGAACATTATTAAAATATGGCAAAGGGAAGAAGCAAAGTAAAGATACAACCTGCTCAAATCTGGCCAAGGTATTTAAGACACCAAACCTAATTTTACAACCCAGGATGACTTCATCCTACCTCTATATTTTTGGCTCCTTTTCAGAAGCTACTAAACCTCAACTGCCCATGGTGCAGACTGCAATACTGACAATTAGCAGCAGATATAATTTCTTTGTTTTTTTTTAAATGAAATGTTTTTTTCAAGTTTACTTGAGACCGCGCATGCATGTGAGTAGGGGAGGGGCTGACAGCAAGGGGGAAAGAGAACCCCAAGCAGGCTCCGCACGGACAGTGGGTGGGGAGCTCCATGCAGAGCACCATGAGAGCATGACGGAGAGAGCCACCCAGGGAGCGTCCCGCCACAGATATCATTTTAAACCTCAGGTGGGATTCCCATCATTCAACATACTCCTTATTCATCCTTTTCTATGGCAAAAGGTTTTTTAACATTTTTTTCCTAACTTTGAAAGATGAAGAATCCTAAGAATGGATATCACGTAACACAACCAAAGCAGAATATTACGTACTGTCGATTTCATTGACTCTGTTTTACTGATGTATGATCAAGACTTTGATTGTAGATTCAGAATACGGACTCACCTGTTAGAAAGCAGAACAGTGAGGTGAAGGAGGACGTCGTCGACACTGGACACCGTGGGCTTCATGGTCTGGATGTACCTGAGGGCCTGTCTGTGCTCGCCCTGACTCATAAAGGCTTGAATAATCTTCGAATGCTGCCATGACACAGGTTTTGCAGTGCTTGGGTGAAACAGGAGATCCAAGCCGCTCTGCGAAGAGGACACGAAACTTGGTGAGCACAAACAAGGCGTGCCGTGTTGCGACAAAGCAGCTGAGCTCTAAAAAGACAGGCCACGCTAGAGCCACACAGAGCGGTTTAAATGCAACCTTTAAAGATCTCCTTTAACCCATGGTATATTTTAAGTAAAAGCCTTATCAAAAGCTTCTTTTGAGGCCTCATTAAGCTATTATATGAAGCTTTCTACCACCACCGTCAGGCTCAATGCCAAGGCCTGCCTTCTACGGCAACACGCCTAACAGATCTCTAACAGAAAAATCACCGTATTTGTACTGTTAGTAATTGTTTACTATTTCTTTCCTTCTTTGGACAGTACGGAACCTGGGGTTCTGAACTGTTTTATCTTTGTATCCTCACTGGCTAAGACAGTGCCTGGTAAAGGCACTGATGGAACAGAGTCCTTAAATTCCCTCTCAAAGCAGAATGTATCGTATCTTTAATATCACAACCCAGCTATGTACTTCCTTCTAAAATCTTAATCTTGTATGAACGTTTACATTCTAAGTGACCAGACTTACCCCATAATCATTATGATCTATCAGCCAAAACCCTTGGATAAGTTTAACCTGGCCCCATGAAATGGCAAAGGCAGTCGGAAATGATTCAATGCAAGCATCTGTTTTGTTTGGGAAGGAATACATGATATCAAGTAACAAATAAATGGTCTTTAAAAACGAGGGTTAAGGGCAATAAACAAGAAGAAACCCCCCACCTATCCGCTTGTATTAGGCAGCAACAGACCACAGCAGCGAAGCGGCTTGAAGGGGCTGCTGTTGAGCACTTGGAAAGCCCGAATGGATAACCAACCACGGTAGTTTTACTAAATGCGGGTGTAGCCAATCTACACCCGACCTCACTGGTTCTCAACACTAAGTACCATCACGAAGGAGGAAGACTAAAGCATACTTTCTTCAAGAAGCCAGTGGCTTACGAGCAAACTGAAGAAGCAGAGCTACAGACAAAACTCCAGGTAGGCAGCAAAACCCAGCATCTTAAAGCAAACCCATCAAGTCTCTTATAAACTATGAATGGAACCACATGTTTTTAGATAAAGAAACCAACATCAGTACAACAGTCTTACTGCAAAGACCACTGGGCTCCAAGGCAATACCTAAGGTAACAGAAAGCTCACTTCTCGTGTATTCGATTGAACACAGAGGTTAACCTCACTAAGAAGGAGCATTTGGCCGGCAATGTTTCACAGCCATTCTAACTTTGGTACCATCCCGGGCACATGGTATAGTCTGAGGAGAGTCCTGGACGCCGTCCCTAGAAAGTTAAGCACCAAACACAATTCTGCATGGCTTCAGGTCTGAACCCTCTGAACCCGACCAACAGACCCCGGATTAATTTTTCCTTTAGAAAAGTTCCCAGTATGAAACGGAGACTGGTTTAGGTTGTGTGAGGCTCTCTCCACTCTGCGATCTGATGGCTCAGGTAACGCATGAGTTGCGGGACAGCATTTAAAGGATACGATGGCGTGTTTGCTTGCTTCTGTCACATCGTCTAGTAGGTATATGTCCAGTAGTGCCTATGAAAGGACAATACATTCAGTGTGTTTTATACACTCATTCACTCATGCTCCCTGGTTTCCCCAGCCTGTGCCGGGAGTGAAAAATAGAGCTAAGCATGTCTCCTGCTCCACACCTCTGCTGTCGGGCACTTACGTGTAGACTGCTGGGGGGGTATTTTCCTGTGCCTCCTTCATCCCGTTTCCACAGTTTCTCTACACCATCTCCCAGCTGAGAAACCAACCCGTCGATCATCAAGTAATCAGGATTCCACTTCCCTCTGAAAAGGGCAACAATCAGGATTATTTAATATTAGCACGGATTCCTATTATCAGAACAAGAGGCATCAAAGCCTTAAAAGTAACAATCCTGACAATCAAAAGGAGAAGAGACTTGACTTGCTAAGGGCCCCACTTAGCATCAAGTGAGCCCCAGTCATCAAGAACCAGTTAGGCCCCGAAGAGGCCTCCGGCTGGGGTACCAGCAGGCCAGCATGGGAAGGTCAGGTCCCGGGTAGAACCGGGTCCCACCTGCCAGGTGCCTGAGGCGATTCAGAAAGTTTAGCAAATTGGCTCACATACTCTGGAAGTAACAGATCTAGAATTTTCAGATATGTCTAATAAGTCTCCCAAGACCGTGGTCAGTCTCCAAAATTATTAGTTCTTCCAAAGCACTGGACCCCTCACTGGCCACGCACCAAAGTTCCAGAAGCCACTGCCTTCTAGGCACTGCTCTCTGGGTGACTGTGACCTCGCGCCCGGCACCTGGGCGAGCCAGTGAGGTCAGGGCTGCGGGCTGTGGTACTACTGAGCCATTCCAGCCCGAGGAAGAAGGCGCAGAGTCCAGAGGCAGAGCTGAGGCTCACTCCCTGCTCTTTCTTCTAGTGCTTCTGCTTCCTTATTTCAAAGGACTCAATGAGGCTAACAGTCATGTATTTTCAAAAAGAAATAAAGGAAATAAAAAAAAACCCCAGAAAAGAGTGGGTGAAGTGATGAACCGCAGCTGTTAATGGAAAGAACGTGACACGCCTAACTGGTGGTATGTTTTATGCTTTTTTGGGGACTCGGAGCTTCTAGTCTTTTTCTGAATATGAATGCTCAGGAAAAATACACACAGGCTCTCCTCTATTAAACCAATCGTGGGAACTACTTAGATTAGGAAATACTGAGGGGCTATACTCAAGTTTCAGAGTAAAAGTGGTAACCCTTAGGTCAAGGTAGACAGGCAGACATTACCACTAAAATAATAAGGCTGGCAACAAATCCTGTCACCATACTTGAGAATTCCACACATTTTGGCCTCTGTAGGATGATGAATTCTGTTCTGAGAAAGCAATGACTTCTTACAAAAGCAATTGCTAAAATGTTCTGGAAGGTTCCGGACATACCGTACCTGGACAGACGCTCACACTTCTGTCGACGGCTGTTGTAGTAGTTCTGGATGACGGGGTAGTTGTAGCACAGGCGGGGCAGGGGCGTGGCATCGTCTAGACATTGGTTAAGGGTCGGGTAAAGGTCAGTAAGATCTCCAAAACATCCCAACGCTACTTGAGGTTACGCACATTAACGCTTTACTAAATTCATAGGATGTTGTTTAACCTGCAGGTTTCCTAAATTTAAGTACTAAACTTACTTAAATATAGTAAGTGAATTTAAGTAGTAAACAAATGTCATCAGCAGATCCAGAAATGAGAAAATAGAGTCTCTTGTGACAGTCTGTAAACACAAGGGTGCTGGCTTAAAACTCTGGAAAAGCTATTCTAGAAATTGATTCTACTCCCTTAATCACAAATGATAATTGAAAGGCAGCAATGTTGACCAGTTAAGTAAAATCAAAGGGCATAAGGGAAGGGTAGATCAGCAGCGATCATGCACAGGAAAGACACGCTTCTTAACAGAATCTAGTGTGTGTCCCAGACATGCAAGAAGTTAGAGGCTTTAGAAGTGCTCCAAGCAAACATGGCCCAAGTCCAATTCTCTAATTCTTGGTATTGGCATAAATTATTAGGTAAAAGGAGGTATTCAACAGACGGCAAATAATATTGGTTAATAACCATTATTAAGAGAACTCATAAGGAGAAAAAGAACAGTAAGTTGGATTAGGAAACCCACAGCTGAATGGGTCTGAACACAGCTGGTGATCTCACCGACCCCTCGTTCAGAGCCCTGTGCTGTGTCACTCGGTTCAGGGAGTGACGTGTGCGCGCCTGGGAGCGGCACGGGGCGAGGCTCCCAACACAAAGTGCGAAAGGACAGAAGGAGGTAAGAACAGGAGAAAACCTGAGTGAGGTGCTGGAAGAAAGGAAATCTGAAACCTGAGAACCACCAAATGATAATGACTTAAGAACGCGTCCACGCCCGGAACTCTGTTACCTGAGCCCTCTGGCAGCAGCCCCGAGCGACAGAACCACAGCACCACTTGTGTGTAGCGGCAGATGAGGCTGGTCACCAGGCACTTCCTGTGGAGGTCCTTAAGGCCTGTGTAGGAGGGTCAAACACCAGATATGCAAGGTGCACACTGTCAACCACACGTGAAACTCAACACACTTGGCGGTTCTCAAAAACTAATTATTTCGTGATTTTTAACAGGATATGTGTGTTTTTGAACACCCTCGGCTTGAACAAGTAATCTCCAAAATTCTAAAGTAAGTAACTTTCCAAGTAGGCATTTTTGAGAAATCTGATTCCACCTCAGCTGTTTCCATTTACTTAGTTTCAGAAGCCGAATCTAGACATTAATATAAACTAGTAGAGTAATATTAACATATAGCCTGTTCAAACCAGGCCTTTAAATGAAATTGGCTATTTTTTTGTTTATATAGCAAAACAGAGACCAAACATTTACAATGACTTCTGTGAATAAAAACGAGTAATTTAAGAATTCGAAACTCTAATGTTAGTATGTACTCCACCCCAATGTTCAGAAAATTTAACCCTCAAATTTCCCACGCTTATTTACTTAAGCAGGGGCTCATGGCACATCGAATAACATTCTGTAGTTTCCATTAAAAAACAAACACAAGAACCAACGCCTCACCACAATGATGCATCTAAGACACGGATGCTTATTGTTTCTCGAAGCCGGAAGTAAAATTGAAATAAAAACTCATCTACAGAAGACAAAGCACACACCTCTCTCAGTGATGTCTTGGGCCTCCCTCACGAAACAGTTTAAGACGGAATTGAGGTTGCTAAGAAGCAAGCAGCACTGCCGAAGGGACTGTATGGTTTGCGTATCGATGAAGCGACACGAGCCATCAAACAATGGTGTACCTTCCAAGGATAAAATACAAGATTCGTTTGGACACAATAAACAGGAATTAATTAAAATCACAAATGCAGTATTTATCAAACTCCTATTAACCACAGAATCAGTCTACACATTCTGGGTTTTGCAAAACACAAACCTCAAGAGCCCCAGATGGGACAAATACAAATTACTATTTTTTATGAGGCACAACAAGGGTAGCGATACGTGAACAGAGGAAAGTGATCGAGAATCAACTTCAGATTCACTACAAATTAGTTCATTAAATGCTTCTCCTCCAAATAAAGCTTTCAGGGCAGATCTCTTACATACAGTGCTGTTTTGGGATTAGTATTTTACAAGAACTCTTCCTCCACCTCCAGTCTTCAAAAGTGAGACACTAAAATGAAGACTCAGATAAAGACTTTATTATAATAAAATTGCATGCTTGTTACAATTCCTTGTAGATTTGGTTGTCCTTTCATTTCAAACTCGAGATTGAGTTTGTAAATTCATTTTTTGGGGAAAAAATGGGTATTTTAGTTGCTACTAGCTACACCTTTTAGGTAAGATTTAATCTCATTAATATTTAATGGGTAATTAAACCACAAAACAAGTATCCTAATCAGAAATCCTTCCTCAAATGACATGCTCTACTTCCAATACATTTAAAATATTAGGCTTCGCACTTTAATTACATTTAGGTTAAAAAAAAAATTTTTTTTTAAATGTTTTATTAATTTTTGAGAGAGAGACAGAGACAGCATGAGCACGGGAGGGTCAGAGAGGGAGGCAGACACAGAATGCAAAGCAGGTTCCAGGCTCTGAGCTAGCTGTCAGCACAGAGCCCGACGCGGGGCTCGAACCCACAAACTGTGAGATCACGGCCTGAGCTGAAGTTGGACACTTAACCAACTGAGCCACCCAGGTGCCCCTACATTTAGGTTTTAAAAAAAAACTCCATTAACTAATAATGAAAGTTCAAGGCAGCAATAATGGCGGAGTTACCAAGTTCAAGCCTGAAGCACATTATACTCTTATATAAGAAAGGCATACAATTTGTGAACTAATCTGAAATTTTTTTTACACGAGTTACAGAATCATAACCAATCCTGAAAATATTTTCCTCTCAAAAAAATACATTTTTACTCTGATTCTGAACTATTAGGTGTTTGTCCCTCACTTCAAATGTACTAAGTAATCACCAAAATATTTAAAACTATTTCATGTTTATAATGTTATTAAATATGCCCTAAAAATATTATAGAACCTCAGGTCTTCCGACAAAACTTGAAAATCCTCTAAGAATAATTTACTTAAAAAGTCCATTTGTTCATTCATCACTGACACGATGAGAGAAGTAACAAAAACATATACATCTAAAACTTAAATTTTACTTTCTTGTACAGGGCAATCACATATTATACCTTTCACATTTTTTGCACAAATTAGGCATTAGTGTTTAATGCTCACAGGACACCTCAAAACTCAAAGTGTACAACAAATAAGCAAAACTGTTAAGAAAAAGGACTTTGAACGACTGATAAAAACATCTGTTCGTAGAAGACAGAGGAGATTTTTGCCCTCCTATTCAGCCTTTTTATAGTCATAAATATTTTAAATAGAAAGTAAACAGAGGAGATTCTGGGGTTAACTGGCATATTCTAACTCCATCATCAACATGTTTTATAATCTCATAAGATCAAAAATTAGAATTCCAATTCTTGGTATTGGACACATCTTAACATGTGCCAGTTTAACAATGTGTTGCAAAATCTTGCTCAAGAAAGAATTTGGTCGGGGCGCCTGGCCGGCTCAGTGGTGGAGCGTGGGACTCTTGATCCTGAGGTTGGGAGTTTGAGCCCCATGCTGGGTGTAGAAATTAAAAATAAAGTATTCTTTAATTTTCAAAACCTTTTTATTTTAGAGAGAGAGTGCGCAAGTGGGAGAGGGGCAGAGGAGAGAGGGAGGGAGGGAAGGAGGGAGGGAGGGAGGGAGAGAGAGAGAGAGACAGAGAGTGAAAATCCTAAGCAGGCTCCGTGTTCACTGCGAGCCTGATGCAGGACTCGAAGTCACAACCCTGGGATCAGGACCTGAGCCGAAATCAAAAGTTGGAAGCTCAACTGACTGAGCCACCCAGGCACCCCGAAAATAAAATCTTTGAAAATCAAACAAAAATAATAATTTTGTCACCCCAATTTAAAAAGAAATGGTATTCTTTTTATTAAAGATAAAAAGAGCTCACAACGTCAAAATGATTAAGGTATTAAAGAGCTCACAACATCAAAATGATTAAAAGTTGTCATGTACTTAAAACATATACTAAAGTTAATGTTTTAATATAATACTTACACAGTCTGTCAAATTCCTCTTTTGTGAAAATCACTTTATTCCAGGTCCATTCAAGAACAAAGCGCAGATTAGCAGCAGAATTTGGTTGTTCTTATTTGTAAATATCAATGGAAAAAATAAAGAATTATTAATTACAAACAAGAAATTAGTAACTTCGGGGAAACGAGAGCCGCCATCCTGATCAAGCGAGCAACGTTAAGTTCAACAGTAACAGAGACAAGCAGGTACTGCCCCCTCCTGGTGAAACACAGCAAGGAGCACGTCCTTTTATGCAGTGCTGTTGTGAAATGTGTAAAATCTGAATCTACTACGGGGAAAGAGTAACAAACACACACTGAAAGGCTGTCTACAAAAACAAACACACACTGAAAGGCTGTCTACAAAACAATAGGCTTATATTTCTTTTAAAATGTCAATTTCTTCAAAGATAGCGCCCTAGGAATCGTACAAGACTAAGAGAAATTTAAAAGACATAAACACTAAACACAAAGTATATTCCGGATTCCCTACCCCTCTAAATGCTACAAAGGACATTACTGGCCTGATGAATAAGATTCCAGTAAGGTCTGGAGATCAGATAACAACATGTATTAATGTTTTCCTGATTTTTAGAAACACAAAGTGGTTTGGTAATATAAGTTTTTGTTCTTGGAAAAAAACACTGAAATGTTACTTACAATTAAAGAAACCTGACATCCTCAACTTAGTCTCAAATGACTCAACAAAAATAATGTGTGGAGTACGTGTTTGTAAAGAAGAGGACACATACCATGAGGATGAATTCCAGAGAATTCTGCTGAGTGAAAAAAGAGTCAACCCCAAAGTTTACGTACACTGTAATTACATTTACGAAGTTTTTAAAAATGTGTGTTTATTTTTGAGACATAGAGACAGAGCACGAGCAGGGAGAGAGAGAGGGAGACACAGAATCCTAAGCAGGCTCCAGGCTCTGAGCTGTCAGCACAGAGTCCAATGCGGGGCTCCAACTCACAAACCGTGAGATCATGACCTGAGCCGAAGTTGGATGCTTAACCGACTGAGCCACCCAGGTGCCCCATGAACATTTTTGAAATGACAAAATTATAGAAGTAGAGAACAGATTGGTGGCTGCCAAGGGTTAAGGATGGGGGTGGGTAATGGCAGGCGTGGCTATAAAAAGGGCAACGTGGGGGCACTGACTGAGATACTGTACTAGAGGTCGCCCAGGCCTTGCCGGGGGAAGGCGATGGTGAAAGGGTACACGGGATGTCTACATGATGTCTTAAAGCTACGATGTCAATTGATGATCATCTCAAAATAAAGCTTAACTAACTCCCCCCGCAATGAATAATTAAAAATTTTTTAAATACAAAAATAATTTTTTATTTGTTAAAAACTAAGATCTTACCTTCTGCTATCCACTTGTTGATGCATCCAGTCAAAAGTCCCAGGGAACTCGTATGGATTGCTGCCGACAATATAGCTTCTAACTGTTCTTCCTAAAAGAAGACAAGAAGATTAAAAGTAAGACAAGAAGATAAAGGACCTGTGATCCCAGGCTCAGAGACAGCAAGTTCAATAAGAGGACACATGGGTAGAGGCTTAAATATCCTGACCCGCTAGACGGCTGTAAACCAGAAGCTAGACGTGGACGCCACTCGCAGTGACGCGGCCTCACTGCAAGGCTCACATTGGACAGTGGGAACGTAGAATGGTAAAAGTCACTTTGGGAAACAGTTGTAGATTCTGGTCACCTCAGACCTGGCAACTCCATACCCAAGAAAAATGAAGGCACAGGCCCACACCAAAAGTGTCCATGAGATGTTATTCTTAATAGTCCCAAAATGAAACCAAGCCAAATGGCCACAGGCTGACGAATGGATGAACAAAATGCGGCACATGCCTGTGCAGACACCAAAGGGGACGAAGTACTGGTGTGTGCTACCACACAGTGAACCTGAAGTTCATACACGTGTGAAATTCCTAGGGGAAGTCAGTCAGAATGCAGATCAACAGTTATCAAAGCTGGAGGACGAAGGGGAAGGAAGGAGAAAGGGGGTCTTTGTGGAGGCGATAAAAATGTTCTAAAACTGAATGTGGGGCCGGGCGCACAATTTCGGGAATTTATTCAAAACCACTGAATTACCCACTTTCAACGGGTGACCTAAAGTATATAAGTTATGTCTTAATAAATCTGATACTTAAAATATTGTTTAGTCACATTTAATATCCAAGAAATCTATGAATGTCATTTATTCTTTTTTCTTTTTCTTTCTTTTTTTTTTTTTTTTACAAATAACTACATGAATAAACAGAGAGTTAGATAGGAATAGAAATGCTACGGTATGATGAAGGTTCACCCAAATGAAGAAAAGCACAATTCTAAAAGGAGACTTGCTAAAGCATTTACATTATGATCAGGGACAAAACAAGTGTGTCTGCTGGTACCATTATTTTTTCCGGTTTGTGGAGGTTCTGCCAACACTATGCAAAAATAAACAAAAATAGTAAAAGAAAAGAGGGCTACATTTCTGCCGACTGTGTACCTTGAAAATCTAAGAGATTCTAACTTGGTTAAATAGATATTAAAGAGATATACAAAAATTAATTGCATTTTCATATGTTAGCAGCAACCATTTAGAAATGAATACAGGAAAAATGTTCTACTCACAATGAGCAAAAGTACAGAATACTTAAAAGATAAAAATAGAAACAAATTCGTAAGAAAATAACCATAAACTCTTGCTGATAAATGTAAAACAAACCGTGGGTAAACGGGAAGATACAAGATTTAGACTTGGATCTGATAAAAATGTCAAATCTCTCCAAACTTAGTATGTGAATATAATAAGTTTCCAAAAAGAATTCCAATGGAGGTGCTGGATAAAACCATCTTATAATTAATACAAAAAATGCCTATGAACTGACCAAAAATTACAGGGAAAAAAGGGCTACATTAGCAAATATTAAAACAGTATTTTAAAATGGCATATAAATAGATGAGATTAACAGGACAAAATTAAAATACAGAAACAAAACCCAGTCCACCCAGACACTGGAAATCAAATAAATGTGGTATTTCAGTAGCACGGGAAAAGCCTATTCTATGTTTTTCTAAATGGTACAGAACCACTAGACTAAACACCATCTGGGAAAGAGGGGGGAAATAAAAAAAATCAACCTTCACCTGATCTGTTACACAAAGATGAATTAAAGCTTTAAATGTTAAAGAAACATTTACGTGTTAGATTTTTTAAGCCAGAGCTATAAAACAAATTTGACCACAAAAATCAATTTGTATGTAGCAAAAGATACCATTAGACAATCCAGAAGAAAACAGCAGGAGAAATATGTATAAAATGACAGAAAAGAGAAATATGTATTTCATAAAGAATTTCTATAGACAACCCAGTAAAAAAGGGTAAAACCTATAAATATGTCATTAATTATGATCAGCCAATAATAACATGAAACTGCACACACCTCGTCCTTTTCACATATACGGAAGGATACATCGAGGAACAGAACGAAAAAGTCTACAGTCAAGAAGCCCACACAGCACATAATGCAAACCGGCAGGTGACTACGAAGCGGTCGTCCAGACGGTGACCCGGGCCTAGGCGGAGACGACTGCTGGACCCCAGAAGCTTGTCTGCTCCTCCCCGGTCAGAAGCAAGTCCCACCAGCCCCCACCATCTCCCACGGTGACCCCCATCATCTCCCCTGCCTTCTGAAGGAATCATTTTCTTGCTTTTCCTTTTGTTTTACCTCTATGAACACATCACTGAAGAACGTTCTAGGAACGGACAACAGAATGCCAATACTGATGTGCCTCCGAACAGTTTAGCCAAGTTTCTAAATTCAAACTATTCGTTTATTATTTATATAACTGGAAACAAAACCAGTTTCCAGGTTGAAGTACCAGGTTTAAAATAATCAATCACAGAAAACACTAAATGCTGTTTTATCCACGCAGCTGAATTATAGGTAATTGTTTCTCATGTCAAATTTGTAAGACATTCTTGCCTTAACTAAATTTGACAACGTGTAATTAGAAAAGATTAATCAGCATTAAGTTTCCTAGAGTAAAAGGGTTGAATGGAGCACCTGGAGCACCTGGGTCTGGAGGATGACGAGCAGCTGGCTCTCTGCTGTGACCAAGCAGGAGCGCTTGGCAGGCAACGGCAGTTTCAACCCGACTCGCCTGGTCTCACTCTCTCACACCTGTGCTGCTCTCACGGGGGCTGGAAAACGGTCCCCGGTCTGTTTTAACAGCTTCCACTCGGGTCAAGGCTGAGGTCACGATGGGGTGCCTCCTGTCCTGTGTCCTATTCGGCTACGTGAACCCAGTGTCGAGTCATGGCCTAATGGGTCCGGGGAGTGTGTGGCGTGAGCCAAACCCGAGACCACAGCTGCTGATCACGCACACTGAGCTCTACGTTACCCAACCCACCAAGGCCGAAATCACCTAGCAGATTTTTACTACAATAGAAAGCTAACGGTCTATGACCCCAAATAAACAACAAAGTTAGAGGTCACCTCACCTGAGTTAAGTTGGAAGGCTGAATATCAGCGAGTCTCGGGGACAGAAGACCAGCCATTAGACAACGATTATAACCATCAGGTATGAATTCACTGAGAGACGGTCCTGATTTCTTTAAAAAAGTCAAAGTCTGCAAAGATTGGTTAGTAAACATCAAAAACCACAACTTAAATAAACAAATTTAAGATAATAAACTCATCATCCTACTTTACACTTAATGTTTCGAGTAAAATTAAAAGACACTGAACAGAAATTGCAAAAGACTCCATTTTTACGTTTCTGACAAGGAAAAGGGTTTATCGGTTCTCGAGCTAAACCAATGCTTATTAGTGATAAAGAACATTACTGATAGGTGTACTTTAGGTCACTTTTTGTTTTTATGAAAAGTAACCCTATTAACCTTCCTTATAGCTGACAGACTTGGTAACAGACCTTATGAACATACCCCCTCCATCCCCCCTCACCGCCCCCGGCGGTTTATTCCTGATTTAATGTACAAAAGATCGAATACAAGTATAAATATGGCATTCACATGCATCTAGCTGATTATCAATTTAAACATCTGCCATTTTGTGCCTTCCTGGAAAAGTGGTTTTCAACATTAGTCATTGCCCACTCTGTGCCAGGCACCATCCTAGGCATCTTTTTTGTGTCACTTCATTTATTCATAAGCTTCCTGAGAAGAAAGAGGAGAAGTGAGGGATGGACAGAGAGGGGTGTGGTTAAGGCACTGACCTACTTCGCTCTCTTCCTGAAGGTCCAAGCAGCTAACATCCACACAAAGCTGCTAAACACAGCCCAACGCCTCTTCTGGTACGTTGCCATCAGTAACTAATGTCACTAGCCGCCAACACCACAAACCTAGCAGAACCTACCATTTGAGCTGAAACAACAGTCGGCGTAACTAACACTAAATGAAGTTTACATCCAATGACCTGACTTCAGCCCAGTTAGACACACTCTGTCCACAGTGTTAGTTGCTACCTACCTCCTTGTGAAAGCCATTACAAGTTATACGAACAATTCCTGAGTTTAATAAACAAGTGGCATCTAAAAAAAAAAAAGGAAAAAACAACCGCTCACATATTATATTTTAGACTGCACTGATACAACAAAATGTACCCTAAGAAGAGACTGCTAGGCAAAGTATCAAAATCGTTGCATATGACAAGTTTTAAAACAGGGGCGCCTGGGTGGCTCAGTTGGTAAAGTGTCTGACTCTTGATTTCGGCTCAGGTCACGATCTCAGTCCATGGAATCGAGCCCCACTTCGGGCTCTCAGCAGCAGGGAGCCTGCCTGGTATTCTCTCTCTCCCTCCCTCTGCCCCTCCCCTGCGTGCGTACGCATGCATGCTCTCACAAAATAAGTAAACTTTAAAAAATAAATAAAATAATTTTTCCAGGCACTTTTATCCTAGCAAGATACCCAGCTTCATCATAAATAATAGTTACCTTTTCTATCAAGTTCAAAATAGTGATACTTTCTTTATAAAATATCTAAGTATTAACTTTCTCACATACGTATCAAGGTAATTTCCTCAGCTACCCATATATTAATGGTAAGGAGACATGAAGAGATAATTATATACACATGCCAACTATACACTGTATATGTACCATATGTATATGCACACACATCACACACAAACACGCGGACACGTTGTTATTTTTCTTGAAAGGTCATGTTAAGGAAATACATACCAAAATTGTAAGTACTTGGGCTAAAAAACTGCTCAGGAGGTGGAAAGGAAGGAGGCACTCCTCGACTCAAGCTTCTCTCGTGCACCAGCACATCCAGGATGTAATGGGGGAACGTCTTACTCACGACAGAATCCAGAGACCACAATGCAAAATAAGGGCAATTATGCAGATACTCTCCTGATCTGAAAGAAAATGTTACAGAATTATTAAGGCACCAAGCTGCTACACATAAAAAATAAATACCAGAATGAGAAAGAGAGAGAGAGAAATCATACCTTAACGAATCTGGCATTTGAGCATGATACCAACGATTTATGTCAAAAAGTCCCAAATACACAGAAGGCTTTCCTTGTCCGTATACATTCACCTGCCAGGTAAATACTGAAACACTAGTGTCAGGAGACAGCGCTAAAAGGAAAGAACGTAGTTTTGAAAAATTGAATAAATCACTGCAAAGTAAAATTACCCAAAATAAAATGTCAGCAGCATTTTCTCATACAGTAAGAAGTTTCAATTCCATTTGATACATCAAAACACACTTCCACTGCTCATTCTGTAAGAAGAGTTACATTCACTTGTATCTTAACTGTTTTCCTATTTCAAGAAGATTTTATCAAAAAGTAAACATCAGAAAAGATATATCTTGGCTTATTTTCACTTAACGCTTTGGCCACTTTGACGCAGCTGAGGTAGAAAGCAGAAAATGATTTGAATGAATATTGTCCCAACAACGGAGCAGTTAGTACAGAGCATATCAATACCTACGATGGACGGCCCAGGCGCAGGGCTTAACTCTTGAGAGGAATTCTAGCCGAGAAGGACGGATCCAGCCTTACTGTACAGGGGGGAAGACAAGCGCTTGGATGGTAGTTGGGGAATGGAAAGACAGAATCGCAGTGAGAGACGGCAACAGCAGAGAAAGATGTAAGCATCGGAGAACCAACAGAGGGGAAACACAAAATGGAAGAGGGGCGTGAACGATGAGAAGAAGTGGAGTGCGGGGAGTTCTGTGTGGGGCATTTTGCTGGATGTGACCACCAGACCACCTACCGACGTGGGACTAGAACAGAGGACACACTCAGGGCGGAGGCACTGACCATGAGCTCATGAGCCCCAATAAGAACACCAACGCCGCCAGGGCCCTGGTACACGTTCCCGGACTGAACGAACCCATCCCACGGTCCCGCTCCACCGGCACAACAGCTTCTGCAGAAGGTACAGCTGTATCACTCTGCTCACGGTGGGGGAAGGGAGGCCCTCACAACCAACGACACAGATGGGACGTGAATCCCTGCTGGATTCTAAACCCTCTGCAACTGTGAGCAAGCGAGTCTTGTTCACCAGGAAGAAGGGATGATACGGAAGGAAACAGAAAAATTGAAGGCAACCACCGCAGGTCTGCCATCACGTCTGGAAACTACACAGAGGGAACCATTACCCATGGTGTGCACGCTAGTCAAACTGCAGACCTTCTCCGCCTGTTCACAGGGAGCTGGAGCAAGACTCAAGGGCCCTTCAGTAAGGGTGCCTGAAGCTACCCTGTTCTTGGGTTCCGCAGAGCAACGTGGAGAGTAACAAATACCTAGGACATCACACAGACCTAAATAAATGCTGTACTTAGTATCCCAATTTTTTAACTGCCAGGAGTATGAACTCTAAGAAGCAGTTCTCTGTCATAAATCTTAAATCAAGATAAATCTCAAAATCAAGCATTCCACATGATATACATTTAGAGCACTTTTTAACCAACCTTCATCCATACCTTCCTCTCTGTCGCCATGATATCGAAATTTCTCTATACTCTGGCATCCCAACAGCTTGGTATTACTAGTCTGTCCCCTCAGGGGAAACATGCCACCTGTGAGGTCCAGTGTGTATCTTTCTTCACAGTACTCTAACCCCTGAGAGAGAAAACGTATATGAACCTTAACAGAATTCTAAGCAAAGAGTCATTCAAAAACTAAATGTCCTCCAAATCTCGGGTGCCTGGGGGACTCGGTCGATTAAGTGTCAGACTCTTGGTTTGGCTCAGGTCATGATCTCATGGTTTGTGAGTTTGAGCCCCATGTCAGGCTCTGCACGGACAGTGCGGAGGCTGCTTGGGATTCTCTCTTCCTCCCTCTTTCTCTGCCTCTCCCACTCGTTCTCAGAATAAACTTTAAAAATTAAACATGAAAAAAAAATAAGTGGTCTCCAAACTTAAAGATCTTTCACACAATCCAAAGGAAACACAAAAAGGTTAAAGACTAAAGAGAACAAATCACTGAAAAGGGCTCTGCGATTTTATAGAGCATAAGACACAAAAGGCTAAATTTAGTCTCTCGAAAATAGTTACCAACAAATCTTCTAAAGCCGTTATCAAACATGGGAACCTTGCACTTTGGGCTGGAGTGTGAACTGGACTAACCACAAAAATTGCACACAAGTATACTCCAGGCCAGCAAAGCTGTTCCCGTGTTCTCAGGGAAATTCTTGCTCTAGAGAAGCAGCTCTTAAAATTGTTTTTGCTAATCAATCTCTTTAAAAACCTAAGAGAAGCTATGAAACTTTCTCCCCAGAAAAATCCATTGATCATAAAAAAGTCAAACATAATTGGGAGACTCGTGGATCCTCTAACGCCCACCCACATGTCTGCAAACACTAGGCTCAGGAAGTCTGCTCTCCAGAGAGGGGAGGGAGGGCTGGCCACACCGCGAGGGGCAGCACACTTCTTCCTCGAGGATTCAGCTGGAGAAAGACTTCTGAAAGGCCGAACATTTACGTGCTTTTACAACTGTTAAATATTTTTTTTTAATTTTGGGGCGCGTGGGTGGCTCAGTCAGCTGAGCGTCTGACTTCAGGTCCGGTCATGATCTCAGAGTTTATGAGTTTGAGCCCTGCGTCAGGCTGGCTGCTATCAGCACACAGCTCACTTTAGATCCTCTGTCCACCCCATCTCTATCCGTCCTCTCCTCGCTTGCTTGCTCTCTCTCTCAAAAAGAAGCATTTTAAAAATTTTTATTTATTTTTTTAAGATTTTATTTTTAAGTAACTCTACACCCAGCATGGGGCTTGAACTCACCACCACAAGATCAAGAGGTCGCGTGCTCTACTGAGCCAGTCTGGCACCCTAGGACTGTTTATAAAGTCACCCTATGGCTTACTGCTTGGTATCAGAGCTGTTGCTCTAATAAGTAGAGCTATTTTTCTTGGGTACCAATTAGGTCACAAGATGAGTCTTGTCTAATCCCCTCATTTTAGAGGACAGTGATGGCCAGGGAAGGTAACTTGGTAAAACGCTCATCTTCTAATCCCTAATCTAACACTTTTTTCATTATACTATGAATACATTATTCACTTGAACAGAAGAGTAATTTTTCAATATGTTGATACCTTAAGACAAAGATTAAAAAAGGCAAACAATGACAATATGGTAATAATGAAATGTATCCCCAGTACCATTTACCTCATACAAGATCTGTCCTGATGCCAAACACTTTCTATCACCGAAGGCCAGCTGAAGTAGGTGTAAACTCAAAACATCCCCTTCACTGAAAAAAAAAACACAAAAAAAACAGAGAATAGCTGAGAAGAAACACTCAACATCATATTGATATATGAAGCATCTCTTACTGTCCAGTATGTAACACTGAGTGCACATGACAAAACTAAGGTAAAAGTGAAGAACTTACTTGGTCGTTTTCACAAAATGCAGTCCTCTGAAACAACTGATTTTTATCTTTTATTATTTTTTAAATCTTTATTTCCTTTTGAGAGAGACAGAGTGCGAGCGGCAGAGGAGCAGAGAGACGGAGACACAGAATCCAAAGCAGACTCCAGGCTCCGAGCTGTCAGCACATAGCCCTACAAAGGGCTTGAACTCACAAATCCTGAGATCATGACCTGAGCCAAAGTCACATGCTCAACAGACTGAGCCACGCAGGCATCCCTGACTTGTATTTTTAACTGATTCTAATCAGCTTAAGCTGATCTTATTTGCAACCTTTAGGTGGCCCCTTATGTGGCAGAGACTACAGCTCTTTACCCAACTTTCTTTCGCAGGGATGTGTTTGTTAAGTACATGGCTGCCGAAAATGTGTTACATTTCCCAACTTTCTGTGCAGCTGGGTGCAGGAGGCCAGTTTCACCAACAGATGGGAACAGAACTATCCTGCGGCAACTACAGAAAGCCCTTGGTACGGGACAGCACGTTCCCGCCCCTCCTTGCTGGTCTCTTCCTCCAGCTTGTGACGCTCCTGCCTGGAACAAAGGGGCTGCCATGTACCACAGCACGATGGCTAGACAGTGTGAACATAAAGCAGATACCGGATCGGGCGTGCGCTGCTCCAGGACACCAGCACGCAGTAAGGACTGAAAGCACACATTTCCATACTGTCTGACTTTGAATTCTTAGTCTCTCTGGCTGATCTTTTTTTTTTTTTTTTTTTAAATAGTTTGTCAACTTGGTTTCCATGTAACACCCAGTGCTCATCCCCACAAGTGCCCTCCTCCGTGCCCATCAGCCCTGTTTGTTCTCAGCATTTTTTTTTTTTTTTTTTTTTAAATAGTTTGTCAACTTGGTTTCCATGTAACACCCAGTGCTCATCCCCACAAGTGCCCTCCTCCGTGCCCATCAGCCCTGTTTGTTCTCAGCATTCAAGAGTCTCTCATGGTTTGCCTCCCTCTCTCTCCCCAACTATTTTTCCCCTTCTTCTCCCCCATGGTCCCAGTCAAGTTCCTCCTAATCCTCCTATACGTGCAAACATATGGTATTTGTCCTTCTCTGTCTGACTTATTTCGCTCAGCATAACTCCCTCAAGTTCCATCCATGTTGCTACACATGGCCAGATTTCATTCTTTCTCATTGCCATGTAGTATTCCACTCTACAGATGAACCATATCTTTTTTTTTGTTAATGTTTTATTTATTTCTCAGAGAGAGACAGACGCCATGAGTAGGGGACGGTCAGAGAGAGAGGGAGTTACAGAATCTGAAACAGGCTCCAGGCTCTGAGCCAGCTGTCAGCACAGAGCCCGACACGGGGCTCGAACCCACGAACCATGAGATCATGACCTGAGGTGAAGTCAGACACTTAACCGACTTAGCCACCCAGGCGCCCCGAACCATATCTTCTTGATCCATCCGTCAGTTGATGGATATTTAGGCTCTTTCCATGATTTGGCTATTGTTTTAGAGTGCTGCTATGAACATTGGGGTACATGTGCCCCTATGCATCAGCACTCCTGTATCCCTTCGGTAAATTCCTAGCAGTGCTACTGCTGGGTCATAGGGGAGTTCTATTGTTAATTTTTTGAGGAACCTCCACACTGTTTTCCAGAGGAGTCGCACCAGTTTACATTCCCACCAACAGTATGGGAGGGTGCCTGTTTCTCCACATCCTTGCCAGCACCTAGAGTCTCCTGATTTGTTCATTTCAGCCACTCTGACCAGCATGAGATGGTATCTCCGTGTGGTTTTGATTTGTATTTCCCTGATGAGGAGGGATGCTAACCACTGTTTCATGCGTCTGTTGGCCATCTAGATGTACTCCTTGGAGAAGTGTCTGTTCATGTCTTCTGCCCATTTCTTCACTGGATTATTTGTTTTTCGGGTGTGGAGTTTGGTGAGTTCTTTATAGATTTTGGATACTAGTTCTTTATCTGATATGTCATTTGCAACTATCTTTTCCCATTCCATCAGTTTTATGGACTGTTTCCTTTGCCATGCAGAAGCCTTTTATCTTGATGAGGTCCCAATAATTCATTTTTGCTCGTGATTCCCTTGCCTTTGGGGATGTGTCAAGTAAGAAACTACTGTGGTTGAGGTCTAGGAAGTTGTTTCCTGCTTCCTCCTCTAGGGTTTTGATGGTTTCCTGTATCACATTCAGGTCCTTTATCCATTTTGAGTTTATTTTTGTGTATGGTGTGAGAAAATGATCTAGTTTCATTCCTCTGCATGTTCCTGTCCAGTTTTCCCAGCACCATTTGTTAAAGAGGCTGTCTTTTTTCCATTGGATGTTCTTTTCTGCTTTGTCAAAGATTAGTTGGCCAGACATTTGTGGGTCCAATTCTGAGTTCTCTATTCTATTCCTTCGGTCTATGTGTCTATTTTTGTGCCAATACCATACTGTCTTGATGATGACAGCTTTGTAGTAGAGGCTAAAGTCTGGGATGGTGATGCCTCGCATTTTGGTTTTCTTTTTCAATACCACTTTGGTTATTCGGGGTCTTTTGTGGTTCCATACAAATTTTAGGATAGTTTGTTCTAGTTTTGAGAAGTATGCTGGTGCAATTTTGATTGGACTGCACTGAATGTGTACACTGCTTTGGGTAGTAATGACATTTTAACAATATTCTTCTGACCCATGAGCATGGAATGTTTTTCCATTTCTTTGTGCCTTCTTCCATTTCCTTCATAAGTTTTCTATAGTTTTCATCATACAGATCTCTTGTATCCTAGGTTAGGATTATTCCTAGGTATTTTGTTTCTTTGTGCAACTGTGAATGGGAACAGTTTCTTGATTTCTCTTTCTGTTGCTTCATTATTGGTGTGTAAAAATGCAACTGATTTCTGTACGTTTATTTTGTACCCTGCAACTTTGCTGAATTCTTGGATCAGTTTTAGAAGGCTTCTGGTGGAGCCTGTCGGGTTTTCCATGTAGAGTATCATGTCGTCTGCAAAAAGTGAAAGTTTGACGACTTCTTTGCCAATTCTGATGCCTTTGATTTCCTTTTGTTGTCTGATGGCTGATGCTAGGACTTCCAGCACTATGTTAAACAACAGTAGTGAGAGTGGACATACCTGTCGTGTTCCTGATCTCAGGGGGAAAGCTCTCAGTTTTTCCCCGTTGAGGATGATGTTAGCTGAGGGCTTCTCATAGACGGCTTTTATTATGTTTAAGTAGGTTCCTTCTATCCCGACTTTCTCTAGAGTCTTTATTAAGAAGGGATGCTGTATTTTGTCAAATGCTTTTCTGCATCTATCAACAGGATCATATTGTTTTTATCTTTTCTTTTGTTGATGTGATGTATCACATTGATTGATTTGAGAATGTTGAACCAGCCCTGCAACCCAGGAATAAATCCCACTTGATCTTGGTGGATAATTCTTTTTATGTGCTGCTGAATTCTACTTGGAAGTATCTTGTTGAGGATTTTTGCATCCATATTCATCAAGGATATTGGCCTGTAGTTCTCTTTTTGTTGGGTCTCTGTCTGGCTTGGGAACCACCATGATGCTGACTTCGTAGAATGAGTCTGGAAGTTTTCCTTCAATTTCTATTTTTTGGAATAGCTTGAGAAAAATGGGTATTAATTCTGTTTTAAATGTCTAGTAGAATTCCCCAGGGAAGTCATCTGGCCCAGGGCTCTTATTTTTTGGGAGATTTTTGATAACTGATTCAATTTCTTCACTAGTTATGGGTCTGTTCAGATTTTCTATCTCTTCCCAGGTGAATTTTGGTAGTGTGTGTGTGTGTTTAGGAATTTGTCCATTTCTTCTAAGTTGTCCACTTTGTTGGCATATAATTTTTCATAGTATTCCCTGATAATTGCTTGTATTTCTGAGGGGTTGGTTGTAGTAAGTCCTTTTTCATTCATGATTTTGTCTATTTGGGTGCTCTCTCTTTGCTTTTTGAGAAGCCTGGCTAGAGGTTTGTCAATTTTGTTTATTTTTTCAAAAAACCAACTCTTGGTTTCATTGATCTGTTCAACTGTTTCTTTGGTCTCTAGATTGTTTATTCTGCCCTGATTTTTATTATTTCTCTTCTCTTACTGGGTTTGGGGTGCTCTTGTTGCTCTCCTTCTAGTTCCTTCGGTGCACTGTTAGATTTTGTACTTGCGCTTTTTCTAATTTCTTGAAATAGGCCTAGAGTGCAATGTACTTTCCCCTTAGGACTGCCTTTGCCGCACCCCATAGAGTTTGGATTGTTGTGTTTTCATTTTCATTTGTTTCCATGTATTTTTTAATTTCTTCTCTAATTGCCTGATTGGCCCATTAGTTCCTTAGTAGGATGTTCTTTAACCTCCATGTTTTTGGAGGTTTTCCTGACTTCATCCTGTGATTGATTTCAAGGTTTGTGTTCAAGCATTGTGACCTAAAAGTGTGCATGGTATGATCTCAATTCTTTTGTATTTATTGAGGGCTGCTTTATGTCCCAGTATGTGATCTATCTTAGAAAATGTGCCATGCACACTTGAGAAGAAAGGAATTCCATGGCCTCAGGATGTAGAGTTCTAAATATATGTCAAATCCCTCTGTTCCAATGTGTCTTTCAAGTCCATTATTTCTTTAGTAATTTTCTGTCTAGCTGATCTACCCATTGCTGTAAGTGGAGTATTAAAGTCCCCTGCTACTAGCACATTCTTACCCATAAAATTGTTTGTGACTGTTTTATGTATTTATGTGCTCCCGTATTTGGGGCATAAACATTTATAATTGTTAGCTCTTCCTGATGAATAGACCCTGTTATTAGTATATATTGCTTTCTTCATCCCTTGTCACTGCCTTTACTTTAAAGTCCAGTTTGTCTGATGTAAGTATAGCTATTTCA